TATGATAAATGGGTGGGTTTTCCTGGTAGGATTTACTTGAGCAAATGTGCCACCTACAAGCAAAGATGTCAATTAACTACAAAGTCTTTATTACTGATCAGTAAATCTATTGTGGTATTTAAGTGAATTTCTAACACAGAAATTTGGAATTCGCAAGGAATCAGTTAGTATAAATGCCATAATCTGATGTGATGTTTGTATCTTTTGGCAAAGTCATATCCCATTTATCACATCAATTGTCTAAATAAAAAAAGTTATATAGTTCGACATATGCTATATTGTTTTTTCTATACCCTTAACAGAAATTACATTAAAGGCAAGTGTCAGGCAATATGATTTATTTAATGCTCCAAGAAAAGACAAACATTGCAGAATGAAAATAGGTAGCTATTAAATCTGTATGTACTTACTGTAATTTCTTTAAAAAATAAATCAAGAAAAATGTTTTCGAGAGGAAATGTCCACCACAAAAGGTATAATGTGATATAAATACTACTCAAAATTCTTCATCCACGAAATAAATCCCAACCGAACTAAGATTTTTTTTTTACTCAAACCACGAAAATATGTGATTTTACAGTATATGATTATTTATTGTAGTTCTTGTAATATACTCTTCAGTAAAATGTCAAAAAAGCCCCTAAAATTAGTAAAATGCATGTTACCCTACCTGTGGAACCCAGACCTGCATTCGGTGTACCAAAAATAACATCAAAACTTGGATGCTAGAAAAATATATACCATGTAATTATCACAGGTGTTATTCTTCATTCTTCAGAAAATATATTTTGAAATGCACGAACATGTATAACTTGTTTATTTATTCCGTCACAATAACTTTTATTTTTAAGAGAATCGAGTGTTTTTTCTCTTTGAAATTGTTGAATTGAAATCTTATTCACAAGTGACAATAGAAGTGATCGAGTACAGTATGACTTCTTACCCTTTTCTAAAGAAAAAAATCATTCAAACGAAGAGGTAGAAACTTAAAGTAAATTTAGTTTGAAACAAAGTTTATTTTACAATGTTAAAATATTTTATATTTACTAAACAAAAGCAGACTACCGGAGAATCTGTTATGGAAAACCCAATTTCCGGATTTATGTAAACATCAGAAATCATCGTCTGATTCATACGAAACATATTCAGTGCGGATTGATTAAGGTCATTCCTATTCAAAAGCTGGAAGCAGTTTCCGGATACTAAATACGAATCTGTGTTGGTGTCATATTGGTTGAACAACCTTAGGTTTTTCCATGTTGGCGCACATATCTGACAAAAATGTACGTAAAAATTATATTTTCATTATATTATATAAGGTAGATACTTTTGTTAAATTGTGAAATGGATCTTTTGAAATTTAGTTGTACATGTTGTAATAATAACAACTTTAAGGTATTCGATGCATCAAATCGCTAAAAGAATTAAAACAAACCAACAAAGTATGTGTAATAAACTGAATATGCATTAATACTTGGAAAAAAGTAACAAATAAATAAAAAAAAAAATATGAAATTTTCAAAACTTACTAATATAGATTTACTTGTATCTTTGGGAATATGTATACTGGCTCCCAAAAGTTGCTCCCTTTGTTCAAATACATTATCAGGTTTGCGTATTCCAGTAGACTCTATTTTAAATAAAAATTGATTAACTTTTTTATCATTTTGATTCCTTAAAACATTGGAAAAAATATTAATATTCATATTTATTCAATGAACAAAGAAATAAAATCAGATTATTAATGCATTTCAAATGTGCAATATCTGAGGGCGTATATTTTGAGTTTTTCACAAATATTGGTTGCTTATTGGGTGCATATTTAAAATTTTATCTTTGAAAACCAACATTTTGCTTTTAATTTAAGTAATAATATATATATATATATATATATATATATATATATATATATATATATATATATATATATATACTTGAATTTGTTTTATTATTTTTTTGCATGATTTTTGAACAAGATAGTGGATTTTTTTTATACAACTTTACTTAGATAAAAAATATGTAAAAGAATATTTTGTAACTAAGATATTTTTTTGCTAATTTCCACATCAAATGCTCTATATAGTACAGATTGTCATCTCAATAAATGAAAAATCACACAATAAATGAGATTTACCTATTTTAAATATCGAGAAAATGTGTTTTTTTATTATTGCTTTTATTAATTTGCAATCAAATTCAAATGGACAAAATCTTATTCTTTGAACATGTTGAAGACTACATTACATAAAACTCTCTAAGTTCTTATATTATACAATATACATGTATACTCACATCTTAAACAATTATAAATCAAGAGTCACTGAATATGTTGCCCTTGATTGCATATTTTAAAAAAAAATTGAAAATATTCAGATGTGACGCAAAAGCTAACTTACCCGTAGATCGTAAACTGCTCAATACAAAACAATCTGCATCTTCTTTAAAATTTACAGGACATGCGTACACATTTCCTGGATTTGGTATTTCCGGTCTGTCGGTGAAATTATCACGAACAGCACCAACAAGTATCCTGTAAATAAATTTTATATAATTCTGAATTAATAAAGATTATCATTATCATTAAAAAATAATCTAAATGTAACGATTAATTGCTAATAAAAAATCAAACGTTAAAATTTATATTTGGACAAAAGGATGATTTAAAAGCCATTGGAGAACAATATTAAGGTGAAATTGGGTCTCGGGAATCCCTCTCCTCTGGTAGCCTAATCGACAAAGAGATCCATCAACACCATTACTATAAGAGTAGCTAGAATGTGTGAAAAGGTAAACCGAATACTTAATGTAATTCAAATGATGTTGAAAATACATAGGGAATGTTTGAATAAGTTTAAAAAGATCAATGTCCATTAATTTGTCTGAGTATTCTTTCGGGATAAGCTATATTTACTTGCTAGTATACATGAAAATTTTAATACCTCAATTTGAAGCTTACTAAGGCATGACATTTTCCTTTATTATGGAACAATAAAATTTACATTTGAGGAGCATTTTTCATGGCAAATATAGATGGTTTCTAATTATTCATATCTCAACATGATTTTACAACGATAAATGAATAATATGGATGTTGTATTGATTTAAAATTTTCTTTTTGAAATATATGTTTATCTTTTCAGAAAGAAACACGGATGAGACCTATTGTTAATAAATGAACATGACTGCCTATTTAAAACGACTGAAAAAAGATGTTATTTTAAACACAAAATATAAAATAAAAATCTTACCAACTATTTGAATCAGTTTTGAGAATCTCTGCGGACACTCCAAAATAAGATCCAGTGGGCCCGCTAAATATCTTAGGAAACTCAGTGTCAATATTATAACCATGAACGATAGAAATTAACAGAAGCAAAATAACTTCATTAGATAAACAATACATTGTTATCGTAACCCCCTATCGGGATGGTTTTAATGTAAATTCCTTTGAACGAAGAGAGTCCGTTACGGAAATGCTTTAACAGTGTTTCATATTATATGTAAAATTCTGTTTTAATCAAGTGGGTCTTATCCATTGAAAATTTCCTGAGGGAGTAAAGTGTTTTTGAAGGTACGTTGGTTTAAGTGCAAAATTCGGAAGTGTAACATTAAGATAATCTCTTCTAATTTTGAGTATGTATTTCTTTTCAGATGTTTAAGTGTTATAAACAATGCTTATATTTATGAAATAAATATCTTTGATCAAGTAACCAAAGTAATATTTTTCAAAACATCTTTTAAACAGTCTTTAAACATTTGTTTCCTTTCTACATACTTGCACTCTCAATGATCATTAAAATTGTATCCATCTTATCTGAATATCTGTTCTACATCCGTATACGAGAAATATATACTTTTAAGTTCAACGAGTTTAATTTGGATAAAAAAGATGAAGTATTTTTTAAATGTCAAAATTAAGATAACATGTCAAGTTTGCCCTGGTAGTATTCATTTAGAATTCATCTGGAGGCACTTATTAAAACTACATTTTCAAGAATAGTGAATCCCTTAATTGAATTCACTAGTTACCATTTCCTGTATGCGTGTATGCCCAATTTAATTGAAACAAAAGTAAGCGAATTTCCTCCAATACTTTGAAGATGTATTAGAGAAAAAATCAGTAAAAAATATTACATTTAAGCGTATCTACACAAATTACGAAGGTAGGAGTCCTGAGTTATAAAACGTAAATACAATCAATCAAAAAATAGACATGCCCTTGTATCCATCCCAAAAATATTAACAGATTAATTAGTACCACCAAATTAAAAATTATAATGGTTGCTTGCCCTCTCCCGACTTATGATCAAAACGTTTGGTCAGTTGGTAGGTGAGAAAATTATTTAACTAAAAAAATCAATTTCAACTTTAAAAAATATATTCTACAGAAAACATTGAAATAAATTAATCGATTCCTGGAGAATAAAAAAAAATGTGTCGGTGTCGAGAGAGGGCAACCAATCATTTTTTTTAAAGATCGCCTAAATTGACTTAATTGACACAGGCAATACAAACACATACCCCATATCCACCAAAAAGATTGTTTTCCGGTTTTGCCAATGTTTTTTAACGCACATTCTTTAGAAAAAGTTACAGGATATGCATTGTTGCAACCAATATTCAGTATTGTAATAACGACCACTATTGGAATAATTATTTCGATAGTGGTTTGGATTGCATTTCAATACCAAACATAGATCTAGATAATAAAGAGAGCTTCAAGAAACACATTGGTAAACGATTAAATTGTATTTACTTAAAAGCGTTATGATTTGCTATAAACAATGTCAATAATAAAATAAATGTACAAAAATGATTGAATGCATGAGATTGGTTAATGAGCCTCGAGTTTGTTCCAACTCATTGCATGGAAATGTTTTAAAACTTAACTGAAAGCATGAAGGCTTAATTCAACATTGCACATTGCTCATTTCATTTAATACGCAAAGCTTATATTTCTTGTTTGCTTTTTATGCAAATTTACGAAATGATTTGGCAATTTAAAAATATATTCATTATGTTGTAAAATTTGCATCATCCATATCATCAAATTTTTTATTTAGTTTTTGTTCCTCCTCTGGCACTTTAGAACGAATTGACCCTGCACCGCTTCTTGCACTTCGTACAGACGCCATTCTGCTCTTCCTCATGCTGTATCGGGTTCTGCGTTTATATTCTTCAACCTGTTTTCTTTTCTTTCTTTTGAAGAAACCACACTGAAAAAATAAGATAACGTAAAATTTAAATTGAGAAGAAATAATTTTGTTTTATACTAGGACTTGCATACTCAGCAGTTTCAAAAAAAAGATATTTTATGAAACAACTTGTTAAAAACTCAGTCTACATAGAAATATCCCAAACCTTTTTTATCTACTTACAATGCGATCCATATCAAAACACATCAAAACGGTTCCATTAATTTTCAATATTCAACCATTTTTTCGGTTTTTTTTGTTTGTATGTTTGTTTGTTTGTTGTTTTGCTTTTCTTTCATTTTAAATTTGTTCCTTACCGTTTTGGTCCTCATATTTTTATCAACTTTAAAATAACTACGTCTAAAAAATCATAGGGCATGAATTCTAATGTAAGAATTACTACATATAAATTGCTACATTACACAGTGAAAACTGTATCATCTGACATCTGACGGGTGCAATCCAACACATTGTAAATTCTGCAATTTAATTCTTTTCACGTTTTACTTTTTTCATGTGTATTACAATCTGCAATCCGACATCCTGTCTATTCCGACACAAAATTTCGTCATCCAGTGCATGTCGAATCAGACTGATTTCACGTACTATCTTTCTCATAACAAACCTTCCATAAGATAAGGCCCAGCAAAATGAAAAGTACGAGCCCTCCAACACAACCTCCGATAAGTATTGACAGGTCCAGTTCTTCAACCTCCTGTGTGAAAGAATCCGGGAAAAGGATGGACACGGATACCTGTAAAAGAGCACAATTTAATTAAAATTAAATCCACTCCCGTTAGATCGGTGTCTTACTGGAGCGGATGAAAGATCTAATTTCTCCTGTGTTAAATAATGGAGGGGGGAAGTATGGACACAGATACCTGTAAAAGATAACAAGATCGTAATCTAACTGAAGTCGATCAATTAAAGATGGTATCTTAATTAGATTGAAAAGAAAAAGACATGGTACATACATGCACGCATGAGAAAACACCAAGAAAGTGAATAATTTAGACATGGGCTTTGAGTATAAATATAATATATTCAAATGAAATCCATGTTATGAAATTAAAAAGAAGATAGTTTCATTCATAAAACTAGTGCTAAAACAGCATGTAGAAAAAAGAAAAACAAGTAAATTGTTTTCAAGTACCTCTTGTGATATATTTTCCTTTAGAACCAATGGCACAGCTGATTGTTCGCTAGGGAAAACATGTCCACGTGTAACAAAGGTGAAGAAAGATTTTCCCTTAAAAAATGAGATAAATCAGCTTAACATTTCAATTCTGACAAAACATCCAAATACTGGTATTAATATGACAATTTAGGAAGCATAAAATAAACGTGTATTTACAATAGAAAAATCAAAAACAACACAAACATATAATGTGTCTTTATGTATTATATTTATTTCAAACGATGGGTAACTTCGATATAAGAAAAATAATAAGCTATTAAAGAAATGTTTGAGGCAAGAACGGTTTCTTTCTAACTTTATGCAACTTATCAATACATAAGGATTGGGGGGGGGGGGGGGGTTATAAGGAAAATTATTTATTTCATTGCAAAATTCAACCGTCGCAAAAAAATATATGACATAAAAGATGTTGATGTTAACAGCTCTTCTATGGATGAAAACCAAAAAAAAAATTGACACATAGGAGAGAGGGGTACCTTTTGTAACTCTGGTAGTTTATCCACAGGAATGTCAAACGGTATCACGATTGTCCTGTTATCCTTGTCTATAGGTTTGACCAAGCTAAGTGTGCACTCAACAACTGCACACATGTAAGGACCAACTCCTTTATCACAAAACTAAAAAAAAAATAAAGAATTGGTTGTTTAATTTAATTTTTAGTCAATTCCACACTTTTGCTGATATACTTGTATCCAATTTGAGGATGGGGTAGGGTTGGGTGGGTGTGTTACTGATTTGATTTTGGATTGACTGCTCATAAAATATGAAGATTAAAGCTAAAATTTCAAGAAACTGATTGTGAAAATTTTGATAGTCTCTCTCATTGAAATTTTTCAAAAGAAAAGAAAATTAAAAAAAATTTGTACAAAATATCAAAAAAGGTCTTTACTGAAATTTTCATCAAAATGGAAAAGAAGTACAGTTAAGTATTAAAGAAATACGACGAGGAAAAAATTCTGTGATTTGAATATTCTAAAGCTTACAATATATTCGGAGTTTTCAGAAATTTCCTGAACGGGATGGAAATGAACATCCGTGCCTGTCTGGCTGTCTAAGTGTATGATATTTATTCCAGATATGTTGTAACTTATTGTGCTTCTTCCTGGGACCGGGTTCTGTGTAGTCGTTCTTAGTTCTTTACTGGGATAATACACCAGTTTACAAGCGTCTTTCATATCTTTGCTCTGTACCTAAAATGAAAATTAAAATGTAAGAGAAATATTCCTATATGACACAAAATATCTTCACAAATTGATCCAATTACTGAAAAAGTAAATAGCCAATGAATTCATCTAATCTTGATATTTTGTAAAATGGATAAAACGCCCCAACCCCCTACCAAAAATCTACCAACTGTATAATCCAAGTTAAAGGTGGATTGTTGTGTATAAGTCGCCCAAGCTTACCAATATGAAAACCCATATACAATTTTTTATTTCCTAGCTTATACTATAGTACACATTCCATCGCGTCATTTTGGAGCAGTGGTTTGCTTTTGGTGCCCCGACGTAAAGAGTATATCCTTAGCTGGCAGGTTTGAATCCCACCGCAGCGCTTAAATATATGTTCTTAGCTTGGTATTGTTTTAACGGAATCCTCTTTAGCAGTAGATTCTAGCTTGCACGAAAAGATCTCTTGTTGATCAAAGGTAGTAAATACCGATTTTTAAGGTATAAATTTGTAGCCAACCACTGTTACATGTAAGTAGTGGCATCACTATATTAAAGAGAAGAATTCTCGAAGACTTTTTCCAACAGACAACTGCAGGACGTGGTGGGCGGTCCTTCGGATGAGACCGTATAAACCGAGGCCCCATGTCGCAGTAGGTGCTGGCACGAAAAAGATCCCTCCCTGCTCAATGGCCCTGAGTGCCGAGTATAGGACAGAATTTGCAGCTCTCCACCGGCAAATGGTGGCGTCTCCATATGAGTGAAAAATTCTCGAGAGGGACGTTAAACAATATACAACCAATCAATCACTCCAACAGACAAATGTAATCATACCTTGACATCACCCTTCTTGATGAAGATTTTGCTTTGTGTCCTGACAGGAATAAAGAACTGAAGATCCACCTTCTGTATCACACAGGGGCCCTCGTTAAACAGACGGTAAGTATTAGAAAATTGTATACTGCGCTGGGTAGCAGTTATTTGCTCATCGGAGGCAGACCTGCAATAAACATGGAAACATTAGAAAAGTTCAATGGATAATTTATTATTCATTTCACAGTGGAAAATAATAATTAACAATTTTTATTTCTTAGAAAATTCCCTCTGAAGACAATGGTCTCTATTTTCAAAGAGTATGCAATGAACGGTCAGTTCGTGTAGTGTAAACCAAAATCTGAAACAACTGATCTATGATATTTTTATTTGGTGGGAGAACATATGAAACCTGCGAAAAGACCGCACTTTTTTGAAAGATTTATTTTTTGATACAAATAACATCATTAAAAGGGTCTTTATTTTAAGAATCAGTTTGATTTACAATGGATAGAGGTAATGATTTGAACCCAGTCAGCGATTCAAATTTTAAAAAAAAATCTGCTTTTTTTCAGGCATGGCTGTTGTTTCTTTTAATACACTGTACTTTGTAATTTTACAAATCGTAATGTAATAGAAGGAATTTCACTTGCATGTTTGCATTATTTTTAAAAAACAAAATTTGTGAGTTCCCCTAACGTCTACCCACAAAATACAAACTTTATCATTACACTCAGTATAGAGGCTTTAAAATGCAATTTACAGACGTTATATTTTACAACCATTAATTCACGTTAATATACAAATATATGATAAGACTTACACTTGTAAGGTTGTCCTGGTAAAGGCTGCCACATCGACATTTTTGATTACTGTGTTATCATTCATGTTAATATCATTAGCGGCGATGGCCGTTACATTGAAAACGAGGCTCTGTGTCGATATGTAACCTACATCCATTTCCATTGCAGCCTTTGAAATTTCAAACACAATATCTATTTCTATGAGCATGCGCTGATAGAGAGTGGTTTCACTTTCACATTCAATAGAACTGCCATTATTTCTTGCCAAACAAAACATATCTGAAGGAGGGTTGACATCAATTAAGCTAGATCTGACTGCAGAAGGATAGCTTATCCTGAGTAAAGATTTCAGGGACGGTTCTCCATAGTTTTTAAGTAAAACTTTCATTTGTAAGATAGAATCATTTCCAATAAGAACTATTCTTTTGTCGAGGTTTACATCTAATTTCAGATCTGACAGACAGACACTACCAGATCCCGTGCAGTCTGTGTCAAATTTTGCCTGAAATAAAAACAAATTATTTGCATAAATTTTAATATCTAGGGTGTTTCACAATATATGTCACACATCTAAAGACAGATAGATAAATGACAACAAAAGCTACATAAACATTTTATATATTATTTTAATCAGCATATATTCAAAATTATTTTTTGAGTCATAAGTATCCAACATTCTTCATTTCAGTTACTATGCCAACAAATCCTAAACTGTTATTTTCCAAGTGTTTTCCCAAAATTGTCCTAAATAACTTAAGAGACTAATGCTTATAAATTTCTGACCACCGTTTTGTAAGCTTCACAGAATACTTGAGACAATATTTGTTTCATATTGGCTTTTTAGAACCCCCAAAGTGCATATCTATTTTTATTTAAAGTTGTATTTAAATAAATGTGACATTTCAGAACTTCCGGTGTTTGTTAATTAGTGTCCACTTCTTTCGCTCTTCCTTTCAGTCAGTCTTGCAAACTTTAATAGACTCTGAACGTCAATTGGCTTTAGATGGCATCATGCTGAACTCTTGTGTGCAGACACACTTAACTCAAATTTAAGATTTCTAAATACACTTGTCAAGATATACTTATCGGCATAGTTACAATCCATTTCCCTAAACTCAGATCTAACTTTCATGAGATTTTCTAAATGATTGACTTCACTTTGATATTGGTCTCATCTCTTATTGATTTTGTTGTGGGGGAGGGGGTGGGGTGGGGTGGGGTGGGGTTAACTGTCTTTCATCTTTACATTAAAATTTAGTCAAAACTCTCTAATTATTCTTATTTATAGGTGAAAACTAGACAGCAATTTCTGGTCTGGTTATTTTTCATCATCATACCCTGTACAATATTTAGGATATCGTTCTTAAAATAAAAGTTTACGACAAATTTTTGCTTCGAGTTAAACCCCATTTCGAGAACAGCTGAAATTATGACATCACTAATTAAATCGTCAGTTACTTATTGGTATATTATAATTTTCCCGATACTTTGCAATATCATAATTTTAGATCAATATGCTTACTTATAGTATTTTGGTATTTTTGGTATCATGCTTGATATTCAGATTATGCCCATTTAGATGTGTGACATATATTGTGAAACACCCTGTACATGTACTACTACGACAATAGGCACATCATTTTACTGAATTGATATTTTCAACACTCCTGCGTGAATGTCGACAGGTACGAGGATTGTCTGTAACTTCAGCGTTTATGCAAATTATCAAGCATCGCCCGCGTGGCGCAGTGGTTAGAGCGTCTGCTCTAGAGTCGCGAAGTAAGGAGTCGATTCTTATACGTGGCGGGTTCGAATCCCACTATGGGACGTGGAGGCCGGTCCTTCGGATGAGACCGGATAAACCGAGGCCCCGTGTCGCACTAGGTGCTGGCACGAAAAAGATCCCTCACTGCTCAAAGGCCCTGAGTGCTGAGCATATTAAAAAATTTGTAGCCCTCCACCGGCAAGTGGTGGCGTCTCCATACGAGTGAAAAATTCTCGAGAGGGACGTTAAACAACATACAATCAATCAATCAAATTATCAAGCAAGTCAATCGATTGATCAAATCATGAAACCAAAATAGATTATTCTTTAATTTCATTTCATCCATTTAACAAGTTTGAGGAACATATTCTTTTTTATATTAGATGTCTACATAAAATATTACCCAGAATGGTTTAAAGATATTAATACAAAGTAAATATCATTTGAAAAATTCGTCAAATAAATTATTGTTCATAACTTGTATACGTGTATTTAGCTTAACAAGAAAAAAATGTTCTTTAACTTTAATTTGTTTATGCTATAAGTTTGGTTAATTTTAAATACCTGACCAAAGAAAGATGCAGAAATACCCCTTCTCAGAATGGCTTTAACAGTTCCAGGATCCACAGGGATGTTGCTTATATTATAATCTCCTCTTAGAGAAATTGGCCTTTCAATGACTTGAAAAAACCTTCTATCAATATTCTAATAAATAAGAAAAAGAAATGATATTACTAATAGCACAAAGGATTCCACTTCAACTTTCAATGAAATATAACTGAAATATGAAGTATACAAAAAGAAATTCAATATTTTATTTTATCGTATTAAATAAGGAATATCTGAATAAAAAAAATATATATCATACTGAGTGTGAAATCACAAATTTTTGCTGTGTTTTAATTTTCGTGGTTTTCGAGGTATGAGAAGACCAACAAAATTTTTTCCTACCTGAATTGTAATTTTTCTCATAAATTACAACTTGACCATTATTGATCCAAGAAAATAAATCTCAACGAAGCCTAATTTATTCCTCAAACCACGAAAATTTGACCCCTCGAAAATACGAGATTTATAGTACTTGATATTTTGTCTTTCAAATTAACTTTAGGAATGGCTTTACAGACTCACCTCTACTGTAAGTTCAAAGGAATAGCAACTTGATTTGAAGGAAAAGATGGTGAAGTCACGGACAGTTAGTTCCTCAAATCTGTGACTCCCATTTGTCATTGCTGCCCTTTTCCTCGTCTCATTGGCATCAATGGTTATGGAAAAATCAATGTCTAACGAAAATACGAGCTATAATGGGTCACTTTGTTATTTATCAAACTCTGTCAAACGTTTTCTCTACAATATCATACAAAAAGACTTACACGTGATTCAAATCATATGCTTAATTAGATCACAGACTACAACTTTATTTAGTTGTTGAATTAAAAAAGGGTGAATTGTAATATAACAAAGAAAATTCCGTCTTTGAAAAAATTAAAAGCAGTACGGATTTGTTAACATGTCTTAACACATGCAGGGATCCTTTTAAAAAAGAGAGGTATCAGATGACTTCTACGATTAAGTATTCCTAAATGACTGGTCACATTACGATATGCTCCTTGTTTTGTTGAAGGTGATGGGATATTCTGTATCTAAATTTACATTAAAATAAAAATACTTAGATTGTTATTTCACATAAGTTGTCAAAATGCAACCCTGAGATGGGTTATATGTTAATTCCCTGTAAAATTAATTCATTCATCAAAAGACTACTTCTGTTAACTATATCTTTTTATTCCTTTTACCTTTTAGTTTTATTTTTTTTAATCATGAAGCAAAGTTTCAGTCTGTGAAGCAAAGTAGCCATCTTCCTTTTCTATGATTACTATGTGTGAAAATAAAAAAAATCTTTTATCAAAATAAAGAATGATCAATTTCATTTTACTACTTCTTGCTTACTTGTTTTATTAATTCCTTCCCCAGTGAAATTGAAGCAAAGTGAGACATTGAAACATGGATTGAAATCAACATTGCAGAAAGTTCCACTCGAGTTCAGTGGAATGGGATCTGGTGTGTATGATATTTCACAGTTGACATCAATGATATTTCTGGTCCTTAGCAACACAGCGGTGTCTGATCTGTAGGCACCCACAACGAAATCTACAAATACATTAATTAAACAAATTTCTGTAGATACTAGCATCGAAATCTTAAGATAAAATAAAAGAAACACCGCAATCACTGATTTGTAATTTGAATTTTGAAATGTTTACCATTATGCAAATTGTCATCTAAATCCCTTGCTGTTCTTGATATATACCATCCAAATCCCTGAAGTCCTGTCTTTACACGGGATCCTATTATTTTCTGTGAGTACATGTCTTCTAATCTTGTCTTCCCTCCATTGAAGATATACACAGCCCCCTCTTTGTTCTCAAACGGAGCTCCTATTGCTATATCTAGTTAACAAAAAATATATTGATTTTACAAAAGAAAGAGGCCTCTTTGACTGCAGAAGTGATAGCTGACTGACGCTTTTCATACAAATTGTTAGGCCATTATATACACACTTCGTCAACGGATTTTTCCTTTACATCCAGATCATGACAAAAAGCAAAGGGCAGATGTGACGGGTTGGTAAGGAATTCTCACTCCTCCAAGGCACCTGATCCCACCTCTGATGATTTGGAGATCTGTGTTTGCTCTGCTGCAATGTTGTATTGTTTGATGGACTTTTGAGCTTGAATACTGTTCGTTATCTCCAAATACATCATCTGTATAGTTAAGAATTGGAAAATTTTAAACTTAAGTAATAAATTGGTTTTCGTATTTCTAAGTTTCTGGGGCACTTCATTGAAATATTGATTATTTCACTGAACAAAACAAATATCTGGATTTAATAAAGAGTAGCTCCGCTTTGATTCACCATTGAAACCAAAATCCATTCATCACCGTTTTAATAAACTTTACTTTTCGTCTTTAAATGGCTGAAAAATTGTCGACTTGGTTTTAAACAATTAACAATTAATTAATAATTCATAACTAATTAAATATCCTGAATTGAATTAAATTAGATTTACTTAAATTTGTTCCATTCTCACAATTGGCCAAAATGCCTTAATACTTTTAAGAAAAAAAACATATTTTCAAAAATCCATTTCAACAAATTAAGTTTTTCAGAGATTTTTTTTTTTCTCTATGGAAGGGGTTTTTATATCTCATATTAAAAAATTAATGAAATTTTCATAGATTCAAGATGGAAAAAATGTCAAGGTCATCATCTTTTTCCTTGACATTAAGAATTATAAAAATACTGTTGCCAATCATCTGATTTCTAATTCTAAAGATGTTTTTTTTTTCATGTTATCATAATGATATATAGTTTTTCAGACGATACTACCAAATTGTTATTAATAAAATAACCAAATAAGGTATTGACTCAGATATTTACGTATCCGAATTTCTTCTTCTTTTCTTATATTTTGAAGAAATGTAAGTTATTAGTAACTATATGCTTTGTATTCCGTTCTCAAATATATGGATTATTTGAAAACTTTTAATCCATAATTGTTGATTTTATTTACAATATGACATTCATTTACGTCTTTGATTGGTTTAAACTTTTAACTTACTTTAATGTTCTATCTTTATTATGACAACCAGAAAAGGAAATATTTTCATCAGCCCTGATCCACAAAAATTATGGTGCCTCCTATATATTTTAAACTTAGTTTACCTTTTCTATCAAAAGTTTGTACAATTATACCAAAACAAATCTTTTAAATGCTTTGCATTGAAAGATAGAAGACAGATTAATAAAAAAAAGTTAAAATAATAAATAAAAACTAAAAATAAGAAAAGGAGAATAGAAGGAGCTAGTCAAAAACCTCAATTAATTTATTACTGTACCAGTTTTGACTATTAGAATACCTTTATATCAATCTTTGTTTATAGTCAAAAGGAGACAAAATCTCCCCTTAATTTATTTCTATACCAGTTATGACTATTTGACATACCATTATATCCATCTTTGTTTATATCACCAATGTTAGAAATTGCCGTTCCGAATCTCGAGAATCGTACAAGAGAGCCGCGAATCTCTTGTGCTGTGTCATCAATTATCTACAACAGTGAATACATGTACTTAATAAAAGTTATTTGATGAATGTCAAATAGGATAAAATAAATACACGTTTGCTTATGTTGTTCTATTATTAATTTTTATCATACAAGTAAATGCATTGCAGCTTATAATAATGGAACGAGTTATCTACACTTAAAAAAAAGCCGGAACCAATTGATGAATAATTTATTCATGAAATATTGTTAACAGACATCATTTATTGCTGGATCAGCATTTATTTATATAAAGGTTATAGAGAGGATTGAATATCTCAGAGAAAGTACCATTATGAAACTATTATACTGGTATTAAAAATATAAATGCTATAAACATCATTTGCGTGTTGCTTTTAATATTTTCCTTATATTTCTAAGTTAAATAAATACAATTAAACATGAATTTTATCTTACCGATGCTGATCCAGTGCCATAATATACATAAACTACTCCGACGTCATAAATCACTTGATTTCCCTGGTCACCCATAGAAAACCAATTTGGTGCCGCGACCAGGATCTCATCGTTTTTATCGCCATTCACATCAGCAATACACAGTGTTTGACCAAATCCACCTCCAACCTAATTTTTAATCAATATTATGATGCTTTATTTAAAATAAATACAATGTTTTAGAATATTTGAATTGGAATGAATAGATGAATTTACTCCATTTACCTGCATTCCTTCAATCTGCTTGACTTGTTGAAAGGCAGTTCCGAATTGCAAAACTGAAAACTAAAAACATTCGCTTAGAAATCAGTAGAAATAGAAAAATGTATTTCCTTGTTAGGAACTAACATATTACCTTATATTAGGAAGGATTTCGGAATACACAGCATTCGGATTAGACAGGTTTCACTGTATTTACTTACAGCCCCAATAACTCCATTCTTGTTACTAAATCCCGGAGCGCCGACAACGAAATGGAAATTAATTTTGTCTTGGGTAACCCCTCCTAAATTACCCGGTGCAATACTGTATCCTAAAAATGAATGCATTAATATTATCAATAATTTATTTATTAGATGCTTGTACTTGAGCTTCTTGTGGGATTATTTTTTTTAAGTCTAGGCTAAGTTAAAGGGATATCGAGTAAATATATATCAATTTATAAGTGTTAGATTGATCATAATCAGTAATTATAATTTTTTTTTACAGACATGAACAAATACAACTTAATTCAATGGTTACACTTACTGCAATCAGGAATGTCGACTATTGCGAGAGGAGCTGACTTTTATAATAGACGGCTTATTTTTACAGTAGGACAATATACGAAAGCTTTATGATTATATAGATATTTAGCCTAACATTTATTTAAACCATACAATAAATCATGTCAAAGCACATTTTACGTTATTATAGGAAGGGAACGAATCCTAATCTTGACGCAATCTCCCACTGGCTCCCATCTGGCCAACTCTTGCAAATTTTTCCTTCCATAGTGTTTTTATCCTCATACGTTTCTCTCAAAAAATGAGAAAGAAAGAAGAAATATTTTAACTAATCATGTATCACTCTGCCTCCAATTTTCTTTCTGTTGATTGAATACCGTTAAACACGTTATTATGTTCCCCAAACGGAGTTTGGGAACATATTGTTTTTACTCGGTTTCTTATTATGTTCCCCAAACGAAGTTTGGGAACATATTGTTTTTACTCGGTTTCTTATTATTATTATTATTATTCTTTTTTCTTCTTATTTCTTCTCCGGTACTTTTTTGTCCGCGAGTGTTCTCAGAAACTGTTCACCCAACTGAGCTAAAACCTTTTTAGGGTTAATAGGTGTGTTGTGTAGGTGTGCGGAACGAAGGTCATTTTGCGCGCATACGCCTGCACGTGCGGGCGCGTGAAATGACTGAAATGACTAATATATTTAATATGGCCATAACTTTAACATTTTCCGATGAAATGCTTTGAAACTCATTATATAAGGATATATTAATAGTGTAGATAATGTGACACTGTCAAATTAGCAAGAACTCACGCGCATTTACGTGCGCTTCGCTCTGATTGGCTGAAACAAAAATCTCAATATCTTTTCCGTTTTTTGACGAAATGGTATGAAATTTAAAATATAAGCATACTTTAAGATGTCCTACAATATGATATATAATAATTGTCATGAAAATACGCGCATGCACGTGCGCTGCAATCTGATTGGCTTAAACTTTAAATGGCTATAACTCCCTTGTTTTTCAACCAAACAGGATGGGATTAAGAACATAGACAGACATAATGGACTCCTACAAGAAGGTATGGTCATCATGCACGTGCGTGCACGTGCAAATGAGTAAAATAGTGTAGACAAGATGATATCGTCATAACGCTCATGCAATCACATGCGCACGCCTGCATTGCTTAAATTTGAAATACTTGGTATACATTTGGGAAAACGTTGTTTACGTCTTAAATGCATAGATTTTGCCTTCTTTAATGAAACTTACAGGGAATATGGCACGAGAAGGGAGTTGGGGAGCGTTTGGGGAACATCTGTAACGGTTCCCGTTACAATTAGCACTAGTTATGTTCCCCAAACGAAGTTGGGGAACATATTGTTTTTACTCTGTTTCTTATTATTATTATTATTATTATTATTATTATTTTTCTTCTTCCTGGGAAAATTTTGTCCACGAGTGATCTTGTAAACTATACATCCGACTTAGGTGAAACCTTTTTAGGGTCATTAGGCATGTTATGTAGAGTTGCCAAACGAAGGTCATTTTGCGCGCACGTGCTTGCAAGAGCGCGCACGTGCAACATGTGAAATGACCAATATAATGTATACTGTCGTAACTTTTCTATTTTTTGATGAAATGTTTTGAAACTCATAATGTAAGGATATATTAGTAGTATAAACAAGATGACTCGGTCAATATGGCAAGATCTCACGCGCATGCACGTGCGCTTCGCTCTGATTGGCTGAAACTAAAGTCTCAATATCTTTCTTGTTTCTTGTCAAAATCATTTGAAATTTTGAACTTAGTCACAAATTATGAAGATCTACAGCATGATTAACAAGAATTTTCATAAAAGCACGTACATGCATGTGTGTTTGCAAGAGCACGCGCGTGCAACACGTGAAATAACCGGTTTTAGTGATATAAGCGTAACTTTTTACATTTGTAATGAAATGCTTTGAAATTCAAAATATAAGGATATATTTGTAGCATAGACAGTATGACATGGCCAAAATACCAAGATCTTACGCGCATGCACGTGCGCTTCGCTCTGATTGGCTGAAACTAAAGTCTCTATATCTTTCTTGTTTTTCAAAGAAATCTTATGGAATTTTGAACATAGCCATGCATAAAGATATCCTACAACATGATATATAACAATTATCATGAAAACACGTGCATGCACGTGCGCTGCAATCTGATTGGCTTAAACTTTAAATAGCTATAACTCCCTTAGTTTTCAACAAAAGAGGATGGGATTTGGAACATAGATAGATTTAATAAACTTCTACAAGAAGGTATGGCCACAATGCACATGCATACATGTGGGTGTACATGCGCTGTAATCGGATTGGCTGAAACTTTAAACAGCTATAACTCCCTTGGTTTTCAACCAAACGGGGTGGGATTTAGAACATAGATAGATGTAATGGACTTCTACAAGAAGATGTGGTCACCATGCTCATGTATGCACGTGCGTGCACGTGAAATGAGTTAAATCAAAAATACACTTGAATGAGCGTATGTTTTAATACTTTTGGTTTAAATACTTTAATATTTAGTATATTAAAATTTATAAATTATGTAGACAAGATGATATGGTCATTAGGCACATGCATTAACATGCGCACGCGTGCAATGCTAAAATTTAAATGAACTTGGCGTTGATAATTAAAGTCTCAAATGCATAAATTTTGTCCTATTTAATGAAGCTTACATGGAATATGGCACCAAAAGGGAGTTGGGGAGCGTTTGGGGAACATCTGTAACGGTTCCCGTTACAATTAGCACTAGTTATGTTCCCCAAACGAAGTTGGGGAACATATTGTTTTTACTCTGTTTCTTATTATTATTATTCTTCTTCTTCTTCCTGGGTACTTTTTTGTCCGGGAGTGATCTTGTAAACTGTTCATCCGATGTAGGTAAAACCTTTTTAGGGTCAGTAGACATGTTATGTAGATTTGTGGAATCAAGGTCATTTTGCGCGCACGTGCTTGCAAGAGCGTGCGCGTGCAACACGTGAAATGACCAATATAATAGATATAGCCGTAACTTTTTTATTTTTTGATGAAATGCTTTGAAACTCATAATTTAATTATTTATTAGTAGTATAGACATGATGACATGGTCAAAATAGCAAGATCTCACTCGCATGCACGTGCGCTTTGCTCTGATTGGCTGAAACTAAAGTATCTATATCATTCTTGTTTTTCGACGAAATCCTATGAAATTTGGAACTTAGCCATGCATTAATATATTCTACAACATGATATAAAGCATTTGTCATAAAATCACGTGCATGCACATGCGCTGCAATCTTATTGGCTTAAACTTTGAATAGCTATAACTCCCTTGGTTTTCAACCAAACAGGATGGGATTTGGAACATAGATAGATATAATAAACTTCTATAACATGATATGGTCGCCATGCACATGCATACACGTGCGTGTACTTGCGCTGTAATCTGATTGGCTGAAACTTTAAACAGCTATAACTGCTTTGGTTTTCAACCAAACGGAGTGGGATTTAGAACATAGAGAGATGTAATGGACGTCTACAAGATGATATGGACATCATGCTCATGTATGCACGTGCGTGCACGTGAAATGAGTTAAATCTAAAATACACTTGAATGAGCGTGTTTTTAAATACTTTTGGATTAAATACTTTAATATTAAGTATATTAAAATGTATAGATTGTGTAGACAAGATGATATGGTCATTACGCACATGCATTCACATGCGCACGCGTGCAATGCTAAAATTTGATTGAACTTGGCATTGTTAAAGTCTCAAATGCATAGATTTTGTCCTATTCAATGAAGCTTACAAGGAATATGGCACCAAAAGGGAGTTGGGGAGCGTTTGGGGAACATCTGTAACGGTCCCCGTTACAATTAGCACTAGTTATTATTATTATTATTCTTTTTTTTCTTCTTTGTTCTCCGGTACTTTTTTGTCCGCGAGTGTTCTCAGAAACTGTTCACCCAACTGACCTAAAACCTTTTTAGGGTTAATAGGTGTGTAGTGTAGGTGTGCGGAACGAAGGTCATTTTGCACGCATACGCATGCACGTGCGCGCGCGTGATAAGAGTGAAATGACTGATATACTTAATATAGCTATAACTTTTACATTTTTTAATGAAATGATTTGAAACTCATTATATAAAGATATCTTAATAGTGTAGATAATGTGACACTGTCAAATTAGCACGAACTCACGCGCATGCACGTGCGCTGCCCTCTGATTGGCTGAAACAAAAATCTCAATATCTTTTCTGTTTTTTGACCAAATGCTATGAAATTTAAAACATAGGGATACTTTAGTATGTCCTACAATATGATATATAACAGTTGTCATGAAAACACGCGCACGCACGTGCGCTGCAATCTGATTGGCTAAAACTTTAAATGGCTATAACTCCCTTGTTTTTCAACCAAACAGGATGGGATTTAGAATATAGACAGACCTAATGAACTCCTACAAGAAGTTATGGTCATCATGCACATGCATGCACGTACGCTTTGCTCTGATTGGCTGAAACAAAAATCTCAATATCTTTTCTGTTTTTTGACGAAATGCGATGAAATTTAAAACATAGACATACTTTAGGATGTCCTACAATAGGATATATAACAATTATCATGTAAACATGCGCATGCACGTGCGCAGCAATCTGATTGGCTTAAACTTTAAATGGCTATAACTCCCTTGTTTTTCAACCAAACAGGATGGGATTTAGAATATAGATAGACATAATGAACTCCTACAAGAAGGTATGGTCATCATGAACATGCATGCACGTGCGTGCACGTGAAATGAGTAAAATTAAAAATACGCTTAAATGAGTGTATTCTTTTTTAATACTTCTGGATTAAATGCTTTGATATTAAGTATATTAAAATATATAGATAGTGTACACAAGATGAAATGGTCATGACGCACATGCATTCACATGAGCACGCGTGTAATGCTAAGATTTTAATATATTTTGTATTCTTCTTGGAAAACGTTGTTTAAGTCTAAATTGCATAAAGTATGTCTTATTTAATAGAACTTACAGGGAATATGGCACCAAAAGGGAGTTGGGGAGCGTTTGGGGAACATCTGTAACGGTCCCCGTTACAATTAGCCCTAGTTGTACTTAAAATTAAACCTATAGCCACTCTTGTACGGTTTTCTTAAATTATTTAAGAAATAAACAACGTTATTCAATGAACATGGCGTTATGAATATTTAGCAATTGCTCTGCTGGCATATTCCATGATGCGCGCTAGCGCATCATGGAAAATATGCCAGCAGAACTATTGCTATTCATAATCTCATGTTCACTGAATAATCGTTGTTTATTACTTATTTTTGCATTCTTTGATGCTTTTCAAGAATATCAGAGGAAATCCTGACTTACATAAGGACGCAGCTTCTTGTCTTCAGTAAAGAAAATCATACGGTTTTAAAATCAGTACACCTGATCAATGCTCCTTTTCTCTAATAAATCACAAACATTCTATAAAGTGTTTCCCTCTCAAACACAGTTATCTGGATACAAGCAGCGCCGTCATCACATTCACTTAATTTTTGTTTTGATGCAGTTTTGACGTCATCGGTCAACGTTATTGAAACCCTCTGACAAAAATTTATTATTTAACACTATGATGAAAAATGGGAATGCTTTTATAATGATTATAACTCCAGAATGCTTTTCTATGATTTTTTTTTAGTTTTTCTATTTATTTTTAGTAGCTGAAATCATTCTTGAAATAGATATGCTAGTTAAAGAAATTTTCTCTTTCTGAATGTTATTACCCAAGAGTGAAGTAATCGTTCTTTGTACAGATATGCATGATACAAAAAAATATAAATATGGTAGTTCTCTACAATTTTTAAAAAGTTTTATAATACAATTAATAACATTGACAAAAATAAAATTTTTAAAGATGTAAATCAGCAGTTTTAAATTATTCTGAATTTTTTTTCCCAAAGAATATTATTAAAAACTTGTATATATTCCTTCTGCAAAACATTTCATATATATACTTCTCAACACTTTTGAGCATAGTAGAGGTTGTTCTACACAAGTGAGATAGAGCAATTGCATTCATAGTAGAAGCAGTTGTGAACGCAGGTGATGTCGACATGTTCATAGTGGGAGAGAGCAGTGGATATGCAATATAAATATATTCTTAAGGACAGATGATACAAACTCTCTTTGGAAGAGACTTAATATCATGTCACAAGTTTTGAAAAGTGGATAATTCTTAGAATTTTTTCTCCTAAGAACTGGAAAATGAAATAGACTTGGAAAATATTAGTAATATTTTATTTTCAATATAATTACAAATACGGAAAAAAAACACTCAGTAATGGTTTAGATGAAAACAAATTTCAGAATATGTTACCTTGGTGCTAAAAGTGTAATTTAAATTTTAGAAAAATATACCAAGCTGGGTGAATTTTATTAAGAAAAGCAAAATGGTAAAAATCAGCCTATGGTTTATTGCTGATTTTTTGTCATTTTATATTTCCTCATAAAATTCACCTGGCTTGGTATATTTTTCTAAAGTTAATATTACACTTTTAGCACCAAGGTAACATATTCTGAAATCTGTTTTCATCTGTAATCCTTTACCGAGTGTAATTTGTCTATATTTGTTTTTTTTTATTGAAATATTAGTAATATTTTCCAAGTCTATTTCATTTTCCAGTTCTTACGTGAAAAAATGCTATGAATTATCCACTTTTCTAAACTTGTGACATGCTTTCAAATCTAATCCAAAGAAAAAATTTGTTTGTATCTTCTGTCCTTAAATATAAGCAATGTCGTATTTCCGAAAATAGCGTAAAGGGTGCAAAAGTCGGCGCTTCTCAAAAGTTAACTGAATATATAGTATTTAATAATTAAGGTTTTTTTTTTTTTTTTTTTGGTAAGAAAAAAAAACTTACCAAATAGTGATCCAGTTAAATAAGTGTCCTGTACAACCTTTGACCTTTCCACTTCTAATTTCATACTTTTTGCGTTTCTTACATTACCATCATTCTTTGCCAATAGACCCCCTGCAAAAAGTTATTTCAATCTCATTTAGATCAACAGGAAAATTTATTAGTCCCTTTCCGTCAAAACAGATTTGAACCTACTACCTTTAAACATTTCCAACGGGATGTTTTGAATTTTAATAAGTTATATTACCAATTAAGTGTATCCTACCTGTTGAACCCCTTCCAATATTAGGGGCACCATAAAGGGTGTCAAAAACGCGTATCTGTAATCAAAAAATATTTGAAATTTATGATAAACAAACGAAATATACTTTCCATGAGCGTTCTGATACAGGTTATACATGTTAAGGAAAAACATAAAGAATTATGTTTTAGACCTGTGGATGTTCCTCAACATTTGTTTCCTAATTTAATACTTCTTAATTCTTTTCCTTCTGATTTATTCAGTGCCCTTTATAATTTCAAGAAAATGTCAAATATTTGGAATTTTTAATTACTCGAAATTTGTTCCACTTCAGTAAGAACAAAATCCATCTTGGCCATAGCTAAAAATATAATTATGCCTTCGAATCTTCGACTACAGATGCATAAATCCTACCTTTGTATCGGCAATAGATAATCCTATGAGAGGCGCTTTGTAGTAATCTAAATCATCCGTGGGTATCCGGAAGCTTAGGGTCTCGGCGGTGTTTATAAGATCTGATCTGTCATTCAAAACAAAACAATTTCCGGTCACCTGGTACGTACTGTATCGAACAGTATCCGGTCTAAAGAATCGCAAATTCTTCCATTTCGGAGCACAAATCTATCAAAAACAAACACAAAAATGTTTAGATTATTAAGAAAATAAGTTAAATTCCCGAACAGGACAAGGAGCACACGGTGAGTGTGACTTGTCGGCAGGGGATGCTCACTCCTCCATGGCACCTGATCTCAATTCTGATGTTTTGGAGGTCTGTGTTTGTTCCGCTCCTCTTTGTTATGTAAAATGGACTTTTTAGCTCGAGTACTGTTCGGTTGTAAAATATCATTCAAGGTGTTTTAAAAATAAGATTATCTACAACAACGTGTATAAGCAATTTGTTTACCTTAATTGGTTTTGTTGAATCTTCTGGCACAATAATGCTGGCCCCCAACATCTGATCGGATTCCTCAAAAACACCTTCTGATACATTAGCATAAGTTTCTACAATCAAAGAACATGTTTACAAGTAAAATGTTCTCATCAAAACTCAGAAAAGTGATTGCGTTGGGCCAAAAGATGCTTTCCTCCGAATGAAACTCGTTTTGAATTAATATATGCTCCCTTAATTTACAATTTTTATAGACGGATTAATTTGCACGAATTAGTTTCCTTTTTTAATAAATTCCCGCAATCTATTAAGTATTCCTGGCATGGTGGCCATAAAATTTAGACGAGCTTTTCTATGTTTTGTGGCCTCCGTGCAAGAGGTAACTTCATGGATGACATTTCAATACAAGTTCAACATATATACAAAATTACACACAAAAAGCATTTCCTACCTCAAAAACTTTAAAAATTAATATTTTAGCCTAGTTTTATCATTAAGATAACTGCATATATTGTTTATACGAGTAAAAAATTTTGATGGTACACGTGTAGCACAGGTAGTTGTTTTTTCGGATTTCCCCCTTCCATGAAAAACCGTTGCTACAGACCTCTATCAAGCTTAACCGTACAAATATAAAGTGATATGGTTTAATTTTATGCATAATCGACAAAATTTATGGCAAGAGACCCCGTAGCACACCCTAATTTTCGATATTATTACACTGTAAGCATTAATTTAATAGGGATATCATATAATAATCGATCACAAAAAATTATGCACCTTCTTTTTAAAAAAAAAAATACCTGCCGTTTATATAGTTAATGTTACATGTAAATCCACATAGCCTTGTGATTTTCCACGAGGAACATATCATTGCATTGCTTAAAATCAAAAATGTATTTAAAAGCTTGAATTTTGCAAACTGTAATGATGATTTTATAACCTCATAAATTTTTCACAATTGGCCTTGAACTTTCAAAAAAGTATTTAAAAAAAAAGAAGAAAGGCGTGGCATTCTCGACCCTACGTAATTAGCATCTGTCAAATGGCGAATAGATTGTCTTTGGTTAAGAAATCAATAACATCAGACCTTTGAATTATGGTTACATGTAACAACGACGAGACGACTTAAGCCCCTCCTCTTTGCCGTACGAGAAAATGTTAGAATATATTTGCTACACTCTTTGACATTTTCACTGGGTAAATTTCAGACGCGAATTATGTAACTTCCTGAATGCCTTGCCTTACTGAGAGTTCAAGGTTAACTGAGAATTGTACTAAGTTTTTAATCAAACCAAGTTTAAAGACAAAAATTATTCATACATTATCTGAAATTTTGAGATAAAATTATGATAAACAAGAGGCCCATGGACCACACTGCTCACCTGAGCATTGGCTATGAAAAAAAATTAAGGATGCTTACATATTTTTTGACTGTGACTTTTTTGTTACAAATTGAATTTTCATAGTATTGCTAAACCCTACGCCTTGATATGGAACGCCATAGCTGCCTTATGTGGCTATTTCATGAGAAGGTTGTGCTTTATTATATTATGCTGTTGTTATTTCATATGAAGGTCGTGCTTTATTATACTATGCTGTGATTATTTTATATGAAGGTGGTGCTTTATTATATTATGATATGTAAAAAAACAAGCCTACCCCTGGGGGCCATGAGGATGATTCACCATTAGTTTCATCTTTCCTGACCCTTCTGGTTCTTGAGAAGATTTTTAAAGGATGCCATCAATTTTTCACTAATTTCCTTGGAAAAAGCTGTGGTCCTTCGGTTGAACAAATTTGAATCCCCGTCACATTACGATACCTTATGGCAAGTTTGGTTAAAATTGGCCTATTGGTTCTTGAGAAGTGGATAAATTTAATGTGAAAAAGTTTACGACAACGACGATGGTAACAACGACAACGACAGACGGACAACTTTTGATCAGAAAAACTCAATTGAGCCTATTGTTCAGGTGAACTAAAAAGTGGTGCGTTTCAATAATGTATAAAGTATCTCAGGGACCTACATAGCCCCTTGGTATCTTGCCTATTCTTATGTATAACTAGCTAAAAATTATGAAAAACATTAAAAGCAACCTTCTAATTTGAAACACCTGCATGTATGCTTTAACAGGAGAGAACTCAACTTGTAGCTCAAAAGAGCTTAAGCTCATACCTGATGTTCTTAGATTTGGTAGTACTGTGCAGTTTGAGTTGGAGTTTAGAAAATCAACTGGGCATGCGTAAACGTTTCCAGGAAATGGAATTTCCGGTTTGTCTGTGAAATTGTCTTTTGTTGCACCAACGAGGATCCTGTAATAACTCAATAATTAACAAACACTTGTTAATCATGTTAATTAATGAAAATTCATATTATAACGAATATAATTGTACTCCATATAGATGAAATGCATCCACATCATACCAACAATATCTATTTTGCAATCAACCGGCCGAGTTGACCGCTAAGTGCAGTCGTTAAAGAGAGTCGCAGAAGGAATCGCGGGTTCGAACACTACTGTTGTTGAGACCGTATAAAGTTATTAAACAAGGTCAGATGTAGCAATAGATGATTGCACGAAACCTCATCATGACCTTAGTTGACAATTCTATCTGCTGGCAATCTTTACCATATTTTATGAGCAAATCTAATTTTTGTATGCATTATAATATGTTTGTTTGGTCCTAGAAGAAAAGATTTCTTATTACCCAGGCCCAATATCTATCATACAACGCAAATTTGAAAACCTAAACCTTAATTGAAATTAACATTTTCCTTACAACAAATAATTTTAAACTTTTCACCACTTTAAGAAAACATACACGCCCATGCATTTTTTTTCAATGTACACCATACATGTTTAAGAGGGCATACTGCAAAAACTTCCGGTATTCCCTGCTGAACTCTTACAAACTTCCGGTTCTTTTGCTTATCATATGTAACATATAATTATATATTAATTGTGAGATAAGGACTTTTTAAAGCTCGAATATCGAGATGTTCTTTACCGGAACTTGTTTTTTTAAATATTAAGGATGATAAAATTATAAACTGCTTACATTTTTTATACACTGCTTAACAGAGATGTCAACGACCATGTGCAGCTGGATGAATTTTGCAAATTTTTTTGACTATTTGTCACATTGAAATAGCAGTTCCCTATACAAGTGATAACCACGATACACAGGAGAACATAAATACAGTGTTCACTGGCTAGAGATATATTTCCATCAACAGTTATTGTTAACACATTAAGTTTCAATTTATTATTGAAAAAAATAGAGATAAATAATCAATGTATATTTTTTGAGAGAGAAAGAAAAAGAGAAAATATATATACGATGAACATATAACATGTTGTTGTATATAATAACTGATCTATTGATCCTTAAAAAAAACTGTTAATGATTCATTTTTCTGATTGAAAAACTATTGTTGCTTTTGAACTACATATACATGAAGGAGTACAAATTAAAACAACTATCATTGAGGTCAATTTATAAAAGTATAATTAAATATACACAACACAACACTTATTGTTGATATTAAGATCTTACCATTTTTGAGAATCTATAACAATTTCAGCCGTTGTTCCAAAATAAGATTCAGATTTTCCAACAAAAATCAACGGTTGTTCTGTATCAACGTTGTAACACGCGCTTCTTCGTACTAGCGCAAGCAACAATACCCGCATTATCACCATCCAAACAGAAAGCCCTCTCCATGAAATCAGCGTTGCAAAGTCAACTGGCATCACTCTCTCCATTTTGCTTTAGTCCTCAAACACTACACCATGATGACCAGAAAATACGCTATATATTAATTGATCTAAAACTCAATTATGTATGGAATCCGGATAAGGCCACGCACTTCACCATCGCACCATCGAGCATCAACTTAAAGGTCGATGGCGCGATAATGCGATGGCGGAAAGTTGCTTTTAGTGGCGCGATGACGATGATCATATGTGTGGTTAACATGCGATGGCGATGGTGTGATAGCACTAAGCGATAGTGAATATCGCTTCATCACACGTACTATCGCACCATCGTCATCGCAAAATATGTCATCACTATCGCAAATTGCGTCATCGTACCATCGCGTCATCGCATTATCGCGCCATCGTCATCGCATTGTCGCGCTATAGCATCATCGTCATCGCGCTATCGCACCATCATTACCATTGTAAATGTACCATCGCCTCATCGTCATGTTTATCGCGGTCATCGCAAAATCGAAAAACCACGATGCGATAGTGAAGTGCGTGGCCCTATCCGGATTCCATAATTATGGCATGTACTTAAAGATATACACTGTACGGTCGTATGTATACATGTACTTAAGGCAGGGGCACACTTTCAACCGGAAAGTTGCTTTTAGTCGAAATAACAATCATTGTGTGGTTAACATCGAAGCAGATCTGTACACTAACTACTTTCTTTAACAAACACACTTCTTAAAGCTTCTATCATCACCGGAAAATAGGTCATAAACAAAAATGAACTCATTTTTTCCGGTGTCAGAAAGAAGTTTAATATGCAAATAAGCAAAAACATTTATTACGACAAAAAGGCCATTTTAATACCTCTCTCTCTCATTATTTAACTGCCCATCGTATTTCGATTATCTAATTTTAAAAGATTTAATAAGATACATTTTTACCTAGAATGACGATACATTATTAAAAAAAAACTTTTATACTTTGACACTAATGAAACAATAAAACTAATTTATGCAAATTATCATGCAAGCCAATCGATTGATCACATCATGAAACCAAAAAATGAAACATTTATTCCTTAAGTAAATTCGATATAAACAACCGTATAGATGTAAATTGCAAAACACGATTAATAGTATTTCAAAAACATGGAAGTTTTAAAGGAAAAAACAGCTCTCTGGGTTTTGTAATCTTTAATTAAGAGTGCCGACTTATTTTCATTTGTCTTCAATCGAAATCAAGCACTTGTGAAATGTACAATGACGTAAATTGAAGTAGTAAAATAGACGTTTATGTATATTCTTTTGAACTTTAAACATTGAATGGTACACACTATGGGTTGTGGAGACCGGTCCTATAAACCGAGGTCATATATACAAGTCACTTTCTTTAGAGAGAAAAATTGAGCTGTTTTTCAAGTTAAATCTAATTTCTTTTTTTAATTTTAACCTACAAGTAAATTAACAGGGCAGGAAATAAATCCACGTCTGTAGGTAGGCAGCGGTCTTGCAATACTAGTAATTGGAGCATAATTATTTATCTTCTTTGAAATCATTTGTATTATTTTCCAAGTAATGAAAAAAAGACAAATAAACCAATATACTCAATATATTTCAGGTGATGACAGACGTGCAATGTAGGGGGTGGGTAGGCGAAGATACGCCATTTTGAACTGAGAGAGAGAGTGAGAGTACTAGAGAACGTATGAACTAAACATGCATCAGGGGTAGAAAGGTGAGGTGATGGTGCAGGCGAGGGTCCTATTTTTTTTTATCCAAACAAACTGTTTACTATTGAAATTTATCATTGAAAAGACGGTTAGTTTCCGCTTTGTTTGCAGTATACAGTCAAATTAAATTTATGTATAGTGTATTAAATTTGGCACTGCAAGATGAAACCTAAGCATTGAGACAATGTTTGTATTAAAATGCTCTTGTCAGTACGTTGTTCAAAATTAAAGTAAGAAGGTAAAATTCTTATTAACACAAAAGTAAGCAAACAATTAAAAAAAAAAAACATTAAATTGAATCAATAACGCAGGCAAAGAAATGAAAAAATACCTTAAATCATTTAATCCTTTTTGTAAAGAAACTTTAAATCACATATTTTTAAAAAGTCGACAAAATAAGAAAAGCACATCGACGGATGTCCGGGCCATTGTCTAAGGTCTGAGGGGAAGAAAGTGCAACTCCGCGACCGTTGGCAATCTTAACTGTTCCACAGGATGTTTACTGTAATAACAATTATCAGTTTAATTCGCGGAAATATTTTCAAGTTTTTTTTTCCATGTCGGTGTCTGATGAATAAATTATTTGCGTACTTGGTATTTGACCCCATATCTTCCACATCATGCAAAGCTGCATGGTGTTTGACTGTTAGCGTTCCTCTTTTCATTATACCCCCCGCTTGAAAAGTGGGAGGGTATATAGTAATAGGTATTACCGTCCGTCTAGCTGTCCGTCCGTCTGTACGTCCGTCCGTCCATCTGTTACGCTTTGGGGTACCCATCTCTTATCCGCAACTCCTCTCATACCACTGAAGGAAATTTAATGAAACTTTCACAGAATCTTCATTACATATTGCCATTGTGCACCTCTTATTTTATTTTTTGATCTGACATATATTTTGGATTTTCCAGAGCAAAACATGAACACTGACATTATATTCATATGAGAGGCGGGGGGTATCATTTAGTGGGCTCATTGCTCTAGTTTAATAATGTATTTGAATATCCAGTTATTGGTTTCAGTATAATCATGGATTTACACTTTTAAATGTATTTCATTTTTTTTTATTCATGGATAGGATTGAAAAGGGTTTAAATTGCCTGTAAAAATAAAATAAAGAGATGTCTGGTTTAAGAAGATATTTTTCACTCAGTTTTATTTAATAAGTGATGTTATTAAACTTTTCAGATTTTTTTAACCTAATTTAGATGTTCGAATTAGATAAAACAAAAAATACAGTTGTTTAGGACAGCTGATTAGATTTATAAGAATTTTATTCAGAAGCTTGAAAATAAAAACTTTTAAAAGTCATGTAAACTAATTTATTTAATTTAAATGAATAAGTTTAACTGCATTGATTTTAGTTCTTCCTTGAAATTTTCCCAAAAATAAGCATTGAGGATGGATGCATTATGTTAACGTTTTGTAGCCAAGTGACAAGACTTTTAGAAGGTTCACCACTTTATTGTAATGTAATTAAACCAAAACGGCAGCAGTGATATCTGCAAAGAACAAAGTACAATAATAAACAACAGTTATAAAGTATACATGTTCAAAGTGTATATACTGAATGATGGCTCATGATGTCATTAATCCTAAATAAACTTAATAGTTCATCTACATAACATAACTCTTGATCAAACTACTTGACACTAAAGTCATTTTACAAGCATATATAGTGAGACCTACACAGAAATATGCAAGCATCCTTAGTTAGTGTAGATTCAAGTTTGTTCATATCATACCCTCTTCCCTTTAAGGATTAGTTGGAACCACTTTTGGTTTTAAACTTTTCAATAATAAACTGATATCTGATTTTTTCCAAGCTACAGTGCTTACGAGAGTGATGTGGCCCATGGGCCTCTTGTTATCATTTTGACGGCTTTTTACTGTATACTTCTTTAATAATCTTGAATGATATTAAGTTGCATGAAATGAAAATCGCTGCACCAAAGGTTTTCAATTTGAAACTTCCTTTTTGAGATAACGTTTTCAATTGAAAATAATGATTTAAGGAGTTATTGATCCTGATTGTGGAGCCTGTGGAGCGGATGTCCTTAAAGTAAGGCGATATGTTTCTTATCGATGAAGGAAGCTTAAGGCAAAAGTGTATTAAGCAAGGGACGTAACTGGAGTTCTGCTGTGAAAGCTGATTTCTATCTGGCATGCGGTGGAAGGGACATATGCTGAAATAAGGGAAAAAAAATACATGTAACTGCCGAATAGTAGTGTTTTACTCATCGTGGATGAGAAGGTTTTAAACGTTGCAGCTGTTGCAGAAAAAAATTACCCGCTTAAAAAATACGATTCATGTTATTGAAGAATAGCAGTGTATTACTCATCGTAGATAGGCAGGTTTTCATGCCCCCGTAAACGAAGTTTTGGGGGTACATAGTTTTTTGCCGTCTGTCTAGCTGTCTAGCTGTCTGTTTGTCTGAAAGAACTTTAACGTTGCCCATAACTTTTGATTTAGTGGAGCTACGATTTTCATATTTCACATGTGTATTCATTGTGACAAGACCTTTCTTTGGGTACCACCAAATTTGACCTTTTGACCTTGACCTTGGAGTTTGACCCACTTTAACACAAATATTCCAAACTTTTACTCTGGCCATGTCTTTCAGTAGATACCAGGACTTTTATACTTCATATATGTATTTTTTATGGAGAGACCTTTCATTGGATACAAATATCTTGACCTTTTGATCTTGACCTTGGAGTTTGACCTACTTTTTACAGATTAAATTTTTTAACCTTGCCCTTAACCTTTGAAGGGATTGCGCTAAGGCTTCCATACTTCACTTAATCCTATGTATTTTTTGTGGCAAGACCTTTTATTGGATACCAATCACCTTGATCTTTTGACCTTGACCTTGGAGATTTCCGTACTTATAAAAAATGTTTATCATTGGTAATAACTTTTGAACACTGAGGGCTAGTGCTCTCATACTTAAAATATGTAATCCTTGTGAAAAAACACTAATTGGATACCAAGAATTTTGACCCTTTGACCTTGACTTTGGAGTTTGAACTACTTTTAAAAATCAAACCTTGACCATAACTTTTGTAAGGTTAGGGCTAGTGCTTCCATAATTTTCAAATTTAATCCATGTGACAAGACCTTTCATTTGATATCAAGAATTTTTACCCTATGATTCTTGAGTTTGACCTTTTTAAAATTTTTGACCTTGGCCATAAGGGACAGGGATAGGGCTTCTATACTTCACATATGTATTCTTTGTGGCAAGACCTTTCTTTGGATACCAATTACCATGACCTTTTGACCTTGACAATTTCCGTACTTCTGAAAAATTTTAACCTTGGCTTACTTTTATATTTCACAATTGTGTTTCCAGTGAGAATACCCAAGCTACTTTGGGTACCAATATACTAAATTTGCATTTAAGAAAATTAACCTTTGCTATATTGCCATACGGGGGCATGAGTGTTTCACAAACACATCTTGTCGAATTTTCGATATCAGAGTCAAATCGTCGAAACGTGGAGCTGCAGTTTGCAGTTTACTTAAACTATACACGGCTTTCGTTTTGGTTTTTAGCACAGAAATTAACGTTTGCAGGTGTTGCAGAAAAAAATTACCCGCTTAAGTGGGATATGTCTTTTTTCTGCAACAGCTGCAACTTTGAATCCCGATCTAATAAACAAAGAAAAGGCATTTTATTGTTTAAATATTGTATCTAACAGGTACAAAAATCATTTAAGTAGGATTAAGAAATTTTAAAAATAATGTATTATTATGTCGGTAATGTGTACCGGTACCTTATTGATTCCACACCCACTGCTCACGAAATTTGCTTAGCCTTCACTTATTGATAAACAACATTAGATTTAAGGGAGTTGATACATGTACTCAGTGGTGGTAAATAAAATATTTTCTAAGGACACCACAAAGCGGGACATCTATTACAAAGATCATATCTATAAATCAAGAGATCCAGAGCAATCAACATCGACTCCGTAAATGACGTCACTTCCGTTCCGTTCAGGACAAAACACACCCACAAGCAAGCACATGTACGACTGCATTTGTTTCTACATCCTCGCTTACTCATTTGTAAAGAGATTATTTCACAAATTTTTTATAACAATATGAACAATGCGTGATTGTTTCTAGATTTTCTAGCTGTGTTTCACGACGATTATATGTAGAACTACTTATGACTTCCACGGTATCATTGCTAAGGAATATGTATGTCTACTTATGAGAAACTTCATACGTCAACATCGCACAATAATCAACATTCAACTCAAAAGCAATTTTCTCAATGTAAAGAGTGCCCCCCTTACCATAGATGAAATTAGCTCTCATGCTTTACACTACGTGTAGGAAGATCAAAGATGTGTTCACTCCAAAAAGTCAAATTCAAAAGCGGCTGATTCTTAGCCGAATTTTATCTAAACGTTATCTTGGAGAGGTCAACCACTCGCCAAAATTTACGGAATTTCAAGATGAATTGGATTATGTACACTAATTTCCGAAAACTGTGTTCTGTGAGAAGTGTATTTGTGTGGTTTATAGTACTTACGACTTTGCCCAATGTTGTTACATGTTATAATGTAGATATAGAGCGCCCTTTGATTTTCCACGGAAAACCTGGATCTTATTTCGGTGCTACGGCTGAAATTGTTGTGGATTCTAAAAAATGGTAAGAAAAACAACCTGTTTTGAACCAATACATGTCTTGATAGATCGTTTTCTTTTCCTTTGTGTGAGAGTATCACTGAACTAACACAAAAATGTCTTATTTCAAATCAATGCTTATGTGAAAAATGGGCAGAATACGAACAGTGAACATTCTCAAAAATGCTTGAAAACAATACGAAATATTAATCAATATGCCAAAAAGAAGGGCCTTTAGTTTGAATACCTGAGTAGTAAGACCCTTGTCATAACGATCGTAGCTAATTTTTCCACGTTCAGAAGCTATACAGCATTAAGACATGCAGTATGTGAAAAAAGTAGAGTTTTAGAACAGAGCATTCTATAGAATTTATTCCGATGTTTATACTCAAAGACATGTACATACAGAAATAGATGTTATCAGCAAGCGGAACGTATCTGTCTCTATTTTATTTATAACAAGCTAATAGGATAAACGAATTAATTGGAATGGTGGAAAAATGGTCAAAATCATTTATTTGCTCTGTAGACAAACAAGCAATTGAAGCTAAATGAAATTTAGATTCAAATTTATAAAACCCTGGTAGATTTAGAAGCTAAGCATTTTTAACAAATTCGATGTGATGAGGTAATTTCGTGCCAATTTTCACATATCTCCTATAATTCCTCAAAGTAATGGTCCATTAGGAGTAATCAGTTAGTATTGCAAGGTTTCTATACAATTTATCGTTTAAGCGTAGATAATATTTAATGCCTTTAATTTTTTTTTTGAAAGAAGTTGATATGCTGCCTGCTATTTATTCAAAAGAGTGACTAAGAAAGAGACTGCGAAGCGAGGGACAGAGAGAGAAAGGAGAGAGGGGGAGGGGGGTAGAGAAAAGATACAGATACACATACACACAGTGGGAAAGAGAGAGGGGGACAGAAATAGAGAGAAGGAGAGACAGAGAGAACTGTCAGAAAAGTGAAAATAAAAACGGAAATAAAATTCCCCCAGCAGCATCCTGCCTGTCAACTAATCTCATAATTACCCCCTCGTTCTTGACTATCAGATAAGTGGCATATACTACACTGAACTATTCGGGAGTCAGATTATTTCTTATCGCGGAATGCTATCACATTTTTATCGCTCAGATTACACGGCAAAACCCGTGCAGCAGAAGAGTTTAACCTTGCAGAATTTCAATTTGAAGCTGCACAGATGTTTTCACACATTCTTATGTCAAGGTTAGACAAAAATGAGTCTGCCTGTTCAAAGCATTTCTGAAGTGGTTCCGCGTTTTCTATTAATATACGGAGTAGCTACAAGAGAATTTCGTTTTTTACGTACACATCCTCTATTAAACACATGTTAAGGACACTGTTTAATTAGGATGATTCTGTTTCTATGCTGCTCTAGACATAAAATTCACATTAAAAAAATGTCATGAGCGAATGCATTCTGTGCGTAACACTTTCGTTTCTACGCTATACGTACATGTATCTCGAGAAGCCTTTGAGTTTTTGCAATGAAATGTTACACAATAACTCTCCGTGGCCTAAGGTAAATCCCTATTGATTTTGAGGTCAAAAGGTCAAAGGTCAAGGCAATAAATTAAAATGTTCTGCCTGTTTTAACTTATGTTTCCGAGCGATATCTCAAGAAGCTTTTAAAACAAACAGACCTCTTCAATTTATGACCTTGATCTTTTGACCTCAAAATCGAAAGATATCCTCTTTAGGTCATAGAGATTTACTGTGTACAATTTCTTTAATTCTGTATGTATAGCCTAGAGGTGTATGATGAACTGTTTTTGTGCTTGGGGTCTCCGGTTCAACCCCCATCGCTCCCCACTCCTATTCCAGATTTTGATCATTCCCATCCCCACCCCAAACACAATCTCTCCCCATACAACCTTTCTCTACTCTCTCACTCTCCCCACACTCTTTCACTCTCACAACACACTCTCTCCTTCCACTTTCTCACTCTACCCACATACTCTTTCTCCCCCCCCCCCCCCACACACACTCTCCCCCCCCCCCTCTCTCATACTTTAACTCTCACTCAATCTTCAGATTGGAGTATGCGAGAGTTATCTTCTCCCCACTCCAACAAGGAGTAAGAAGTCAAGGAATTATAGGAATAGGGCAGAAAGTTTCCCTAACCTATATCTCCCTCTTCCGGTATATCTTCTCTTAAGCCTCTCTCTCTCTCTCTCTCTCTTACCCTCTCTTTCTTTTTTTTTTCATTTTCTGCATTGCAACATTTTGCCACGTATACGTCGTTGTAAACTTTATATAAGGAAACCTTATTTAAAAGTAAGTGTTTTAAGTAAGTAAGTAAGTAAGTAAATTTTATTTAAAGTTGGCATTGTATACATTGCATAACAAGAAACATGAGCTCTGTAGAGCTCTTAAACCGACTATCACAGTTAAAATATCACAAGAAAACATTTTCAACATGAATTAACATGCAAAAACACATGTACATATATACACATACATATGGCAGATAAAACGAATTTTAAGAATTAAACAAATTTTAAGAACTGATAATTTTTTTTTTAGAATTAGTTAAAGGAAAAAAAGACAAACTTGGAAAGCAATATGATTGCATTAAGAAGAACAAAAATAAAAAGAATGTGAATATTATAAAATAAATAAATAAAAGTCATATGACAGTAGACAGTAATATAAATCAAGCGCTACGTTTAACCCATAGAGTCAGATTAAAAATAACTAATTGTATTATTAATTTATGAAAAATAAATAAATAAATTTGAAAGTTTAGAAAATTAAAAATTCACACAGATATAGCTAAACCAAATTGAGAAAGAAGAAAAAAAATAATTTATGTTCCTCATCAATACACATCCTGCCTTGTGATTGGGTCAGTCCCTACCTACATAGGTAAGATATGCATTGTTATGAGGTTAAAGAGAAAAGTAAGACTGTTCAAAACGAAAATTTAAAGAAAATAGGATCCTGGAGAGATTACACCTTTGCCATCATATGATGTAACTCCAAAGGTTTCAGTCCCCAGGGCCCTTATTATAGGAATTTTTACAGTAAGTATCAAGGTTTAATTTATAGATATAAAAGAAACACTAGAAAACAATAAAATAAAATGAAGTCTAATTTAAATAATTGAAGTAAAATTTAAGTCTGGCATTACTATTATCGCCAAAATTTACGTTACTGGTTAGTTAGATTCAAACTAAATCACAATCGATGATTTCTAATTATGATTTTGTAGATTCTTGAAAAAAATATTTTCGAAAGAAACATATCTGTTCATTCATAATCACGAAATAAACCACAGAAGTTAGCAACGCATAATAAACGTTTACGCTAAGAATAGAGCTATTGGAACACTAAAAAGTGCCATGGGCGCTTCCCATTCCTACTTATATATTGTAGTTGTATGTCAGATTTTCAATTTAAAATTATTTTGCAACTTTTATTGGTAATTAAAAAAAACTTTGTACATGATACAAACCTACATGATTATTCACGTTTAGGTTGCAAATTTTATTTTATTGTATTTATATTATTTGACAATGAATATAAAGCTAAATTAAAAGATATCGATAATTAACCTGTCACTAAATGATTCTATTATTCCTTTTATCGTTGGCGTGCATGTTTCTGGCCATAAAGGATTTGATATGTATTAATATTATACTTTCATGTAAATTACTTGAATCTGATTCGTCGAGAAACATTTGATAAAAAACACTACTACCGGCTGAATAATGAAGCCACGTCCTCCTGCGTAGCAACAGTCAACATTGCTTGACGACGGGTGGTATTACAAAAAATAGCGACTGCGCGGAATTTATGCGCGCACGGTTCACTGTAATATGTATTTGTATAAAACATTCAGTATTATACGATAAATATTGCATGTAGTTGAGTGTAACATTGAAAATTTTCACCCCTCGAAAACCACTGTCAACCTTGGCTGCGCCTCGGTTGACAATGGTTTTCTTGGGGTGAAAATTTTCAATGTTACACTCAACTAGATGCATTATTTATATATTAATTTTGACTATACTGTAAGTAAAAAAAAAGAACAAGATTTTTAAATTTTTTCTCTCTAGGCTACTTGTTGGTGCTACAAAAGATAATTTCACCGACAGACCGGAAATTCCATATCCTGGCAATGTTTACGCATGCCCTATTGATTTCCATTCCCAGTCCAGTTGCATAGTTTTACCAAGTTTGAGGACAGGAGGTGAGTTATTTAAAAACTCAACAGAAATTTTGGTAAGGTGAATTTCTTCTTTCATATTTCTTTGTCTTTGAATGAAACGTATGGAGATAACATGGAGATAACGAACAGTATTCAAGATCAAAAGTCCAAAAAAAAAAAAAAAAAACAATACAAAATACGAGCAGAGGAAACACGGACCTCCAAAACATCAGAGGTGGGATCAGCTGCCATGGAATAGTGAGTATCCCCTGTCGACCGGTCACACTAGCCGTGTGCTCCTTGTCATGATCGGGAAATAACGGAAAAATCCGTCGTCAATTCAGTGTATAAATAATGGACTATCATTTAGTATACCAAAAATGATTGAATACTTAAAAATTATACTTAAACGTTACATGCGTGCAAATTATACTGTATACAAAGGGGTTTCCTTTTCTCTCTTTTTCTCTGTCAAATATTTCGTTACAGAAAATCATGCAAATGAATCGCAGAACGTATTTGAACAAAAGGAACAACTTTTAGGGGCAACTATTCTTGTACCCGAGGACAAGATGAAAGCCATCAAGGTATTTTTAAAAGGTTTAACATCCATTTCTTATACTCACATCTTATACTCACATATTTTTTTTTTTAAATCCTTCGGGTTTTTAAAAACGAAATCCAACTCTTCTTTTGAGAGTTTGCCCTGCACAATTTTTAGACAAATAGCCTTTTTATGTTAAAATTTTATAAAAAGTTTTATTCGTCATTTATTCCTTTTAGAGTTAACTCTCTAATAAGATCAATTAACCTTAAACATACGATAAAAACCGTAATACATGATATTCTCCAATGAAAACATTCAAAATAATTTGATAAAGTTTTACTCTACACCAAAAGTACTTATTTGTTTCAGATCTGTGCACCAAACTGGAAGAATTTGCGATTCTTCAATCCAAATGATAATGTGGATGATTACTATCAAGTGACCGGAAATTGTTTCCTTCTGAAAAACAGGTCAGACCTGGTGAATAAACCGGAAGTAAGCAAGTTTCGAATTCCCCCTGATGTTCTTGACTTTTACAAGGCACCGCTAATTGGATTTTCACTTTCCGATATCAAGGTTAGTTACAAAAAATAATAACATCAATAAATTTAAGTAATAAATAAATAAAATAAATAAATTTCAGCTTACAACAAAGACACTGATGTTTAAATGTACGAACTAAGGTTGTGTTATAATACTGGTGGAATTTTATTTTTAAAAAGTCATGTAAAACTAAACCCCCCGAATATCGATGAAATGTATAATAATAATAATATAATTTAATATAAATTAAAGGAAAATTAAATAAACAATTGCAAGTCAAGTGAATAAGTTATTTTATTTTGGTCTTCATACATGTATATAATTATATAAATATAATATTATAGATATCGAGATTTCTTTGGTAAAATTTAGTTTATTCCAAATTTGATAAAAGTAATGTCAACTTTTACAACATAACGAGGCCTGAAAAATTGGAATTCTTCAGCAAATATCTGTCAATATAGAAGAGACACAAACATTATGATTATATAGGCTTTAATAAAGATGGAAAATAACATATCATTATAGTACCTAATGGCTTTTATGAATTTTAGAAATAAATATTGACCTTAAGAAAAATTCAATCATTTTGATGAATTTTCAGACTCCTGTTTTTGAAACGTTTTATGGCGCTCCCAATGTCGGAAGGAGTTCAACAGGTGAAGCTGAACATAATGTGTAATTCCTCTTTCATAATAAAAATCAAATATCTTTCCTTCTTTCCTGGTAACTTTCGTACGTCAATAGTTTTTCTTTGGTTCCAATTCAAGAGCTATTCTTTCATGCAGAACAAACTAAGTTTAGCGTTATTGCAATATAGGAGGCATTGTGGGAAAAAATGATGGCACACTGAAAAGCGTGACGTCATTGAAACTGGAAGTAGAAAGGTCAGAGGTTATAAAGAATACCTACTTAACTGGGTCATTATTCGGTAAGTAAAATATATGTATTGATAACAAGCAAAATTAAAATAATAGTTTTAAGCGCTATGACAACTGAATTGCATTTGATTGAAAAAGGAAAATAAAAAAAAATATCTATTTATTTGGATGTAAAATTCCTTACCAAACGTTCTTTGACCTTTAAATTAAATTATTTGGATGAGAAAAAAATATATCAATTTCTACTGAGAGCATAATTATCTCTTACTCCTACAAGTAAGAGCCTCGGTTAACGTCCCTATGCTCCTTATATACCTCGGACTCTTACATCCGAAGGCCATTTTCTAACGAGCTCGTTCCGCCTGAGATTTTGGGCGGAACGTATTATGCGTGAAATAAACTGTTAACAAGTAATTTTCAGGTACCTACGTGTTTGCATGGGGTATGAAAGTCACAAGAAATAATAAAATCCATTTTATTCAGTGTGCATTATTGTTAATTAATGAAATTTGTCAGTATTCCAATTCGTCACCAGAAGTACTTTCGATTTGATTTCACATTAATTTTGCGGATTGCTTGTCAGAAAACGAAATTTTCGTTGCATTACACTGGTTTCGTTTCGTCAGATTTTCTGAATTCTATTTCCGAATTTTAAACAGACGACTTGTTTCAATTTCTGCTTCGATTTAAAAAATAATGGATTTATTGCTAATACGAGAGATTAACAATGTTTTATTCGTAAGTTTTATCGTAAATATTGAGTATTTTATCATGTCGTACCATTCTTTAATATACAAAGCCTTATTTCTTAATAAAATAATTTTTTTCCACTTGGTGTTGTAGCGGCGAGAATTTTTACAATGGATGCTAGAGGTTACGCGGCGCCAAGTCAAAAAGTATCTCGCCGTGAACCTCTAGCATGCTGGAGTAAATTATCTCTGTGATAAAAATATTTCTAATCACTACATCAAAGGTTTTAAAATATGATTTAAATTTTTGGTTTTACTAGTATATGTTTTCCCCAATGTATTCTTGCATATTCATGTATAACAACAAACAAAAAAGATTGATATATTTGAAATTTTTCTATATCTTTTCAATTACATGTAATACCCTCACAGGCTATAGCATTGCGACAGGACAATTGGGACAAAACCCGTTTCATTTCGTGGTGGGCGCCCCTGGATTCAGCAATAAGAACGGAAATATTGGCGCTGTAGGTGGTAGAAATGAATAGCAAAGACTTAATCTATTATATGCATTATGTTAATTCTTTTGACAAAACAAAATGTCATTAATTCATTTATAACAATAGCATGTTTTCTCTTAGTATTAGATTGTGTCTACGTAAACGACTGCTTAATAAATACTCTATCTCATCATATTGCAGTTCTCTGTATTTATACTTGGTGCACCTCCAGTTCAAGTCAAACAGATCGAAGGAAACCAGGTTAGAATTTATATTTTTGTTGAATCGAATCGAAATACAATTGCTATAAATATCATAATATGATATTCTGTGAACCGAAACAAACATTTAATAGCAACAACCCTCATATGATAATTGTATAAAATAAGGTTGGAGGAGGATTTGGTCAGACACTGTGTATTGCTGATGTTAATGGCGATAAAAACGATGAGATCCTGGTCGCGGCACCAAATTGGTTTTCTATGGATGATCAAGGAAACAAAGTTCTCAATGACATCGGATCCGTTTATATATATTACGGCACAGGAACCTCAGCTGTAAGACAAAGCTCGTTTAATGAGCAAAAATTATATAAATTTTCTTTTCGGATTTCGTTTCTTTCTTCTCATACATGTACATTGTAACAATATTATATGAAAATACTTTAATAAGCTCTGTCTATTTTAGGGCGTATCCTACGGTCGAGAAATTGAAGTTATGGCATTTTTTCAATTAATGAATCCTTTTTATTTTTAAAACATCTGTTTGTAGAATATGAGTGGAAATATATATATATATATTTTTTATTTTTCAGATAATTGATGATATGCCACATGTACTACACGGTTCTTTGTCTCCGTTCTCAAGATTCGGGACAGCTATTGCCAATATTGGTGACATAAACAAAGACGGATATAATGGTTTGTGATCAGGTTAAGTTTTGTCTCTTAAAATATGTTTTATACTGAATTGTTCCATATGCATTATGGTCTTTTTTAAACATTGAACAACATGTAATTAAATCTGTATCATATTTGGAAAGCAAAGATACTCTAGACATACTGAAGCTTTTTTTACTTGAAACTAAATGATTTTTTTAAATATACATAAAAAATTATTTACTTTGTTGTATGTTGTCCATGAAAAACAAAATATTTGTTTTGAATTTAAAAACTTTGGCTAAATAAAGCATAGAAGACTATCATAATGGATTTTGTGGAATTGTTCTTTTAGATATAGCAATAGGAGCACCTTTTGAGGATATTGAAGGGGCTGTCTACATCTTCAATGGAGGGAAAACAAGATTAGAAGACAAACATTCACAGAAAATAACAGGAACCAATGTAAAAGCAGGACTTCAGGGATTCGGATGGTATATATCAAGATCAGCAATGGATGTGGATGACAATATGTATAATGGTAAACAATTAAGAAAAATATATATAAAAAATACAGTTTCATTATAGTAAATTAACATAGACAGGTAAAATATACGTCAGTGTGTTGAGCAAATGTTAAACATGTTATGTTGCTCATGTTACATGGTCAACGTAAACAATTATCAAATACATCTATACGCATAAAAATATTTCATCTTTCATGTCTCCATAGATTTACTTTACATTTTTTAAATATGCCACAATAATTTTACCATTTAAACATATTTACACATTTATCAACAGTTTTGTTCTCCTTTTTAGATTTTGCTGTCGGAGCATACAAATCGGATACAGCTTTGATTCTACGATCCAGAAATATCATTGATATCCACTGTGATATAACAACCAACCCAGACCGCATCCCTCTAAACGCTAGCGGTATATCGTGCAGTGACGGTCATGATTTCAATCCATGTTTCTCCGTGTCTTTTTGTTTTAATTTTACAGGAGATGGAATAAAGGATACTGGTATGAAACTCATCGATCATGTTAGAATTTCAAAACAGTGTATTTTAATGACCAAATGGTTCCTCTTCATCATAATATGTCATTTTCTTAATATTAAAAAAATCAATTTTTCTTTAGTTTCCGATTTAAATATTTAATACTTTCTTGAAGTTGCGCTCAGAAATCAAAACTTTGCGATTTATTGTTTCTTAAAGATATCAAACTCTTCATTAAGACAACTTTCAAGTGTTTAAGGATACACCAAAGGTTTCCAAAGGGCAAAAATTTATTTTGCTTGTAATTCTTTTATTATTCAAGATAACATATTAAAAGTATATTTCATTTGAAAGCTTTTTAAATTTACTATTTAATGATCCTAAAAACTTTCATTTTTATCTTATAAAAAATAATTAATATTTTAATGTAAATGTTAGTGCATTTGTATTTTATTAATCAACTTTTTCATATTCCACCTTTCAAAGTCATAATTTTGCCTCAAGGTAGATTAAAGATTGAACTTAAAAACCGTATCTCAGATTTTTGGTAAATCTTCTAGTTCAAAAGTTACGTCCATTTGTCCGTCAATGTTACTAATTTATTAGCCCATTTCTACATTTCCCTTAATAATTCAAGAACTAAGCAAGATATCAAAAATTTGAGATTCGGTTTTGTGAACACACATTTAAGACACAATCTAGCCAGTTTTCAGAGAAATTGGTCAATAAGTAAGGGAGCTGAATCCTTTGAAATAATACCACCAACTGTCTGATTTCACTTTACAGAATAGGGCAAAAACCCATTACACAACAAATTCTGCCAAAGCTAGAAATATATGACACCTTGGAGATTCAGCTTTGGATACCTGTCACTTATCCATATTTTCTATGCATATTCACAAGAATGGGAGGTTCTTTTCTATATTTAGGTGCTTTAATTAAGTGAAGTAGGTTCAATTCTGAATCAGAAAGATTTCCCGGCAAAATGGCAAGAGCTAAGCTCCACCTCCTATTTTATGGTCATTAGTGACCTGTTAGATCTCCTTCCCTAAGTTTGGGTTCCCTGTAGTTTTATTACCTATAACCCCTGTGTGGCTAGTGAAGAATTCCCCAAGTGGTAACAGTGATTTATTGCTTAAGTGAGGAGCAGGCAGTCACAGATCAAATCAGAAGCTTCAATAACGGCACATTCACATGCGTTAGTGTTTATGTTTGATTATAGTTAAATAATTACAAAACCATTTAACAATCAGCAAGAATTTTTCATGCATTATAAAGCAGTGATTAGCATCCTTTTCTTAGCCAAAAATCTCAAAATTGACAAAAATCTTGAAAAAAGCCTTTGGTGTATCCTTAAAAGGAAATTAAATTTATTAATAATATCATACAATTTTCAGTTTGCATACTGATATAGATCACGTTTTAAAGATTTGGCAATGAAAGCAATCATTTTGTATAATCAATATTGTTTAGTTTAAAAAATTATAGCTGTATCCCCATCATTTTTACACAGTGTCAATGATACTCAATTACTTACAAAACCATTATACTTTTTTTTCAGAAATTGATTTGACAATCACTGTTGATGCAAATGAAACTCGTAAAAGGGCAGAAATCAGCAGCCAAAGAAGTGACCTTTGGGCAAAGGACGTGTCTCGCTTTATCGTGTTTTCTAATAAACCTCACTGTTATAGCTTAGAACTAAGAGTACCGGTAGGATTTTAATTAATTTCTGCATAAATTTATCCAAAAAAAGGAATTAAATTGATGGGAATTGAGCAACCAGCAGTTCACTCTTAATGTAATAAGGCATTATTTAGGGCAATTGTCTTTTTTGATTTGTTTACTTTTTAATCAAAGCTTCCCTTTAAAAAATGTAAATAAATAAACTTTTGAAAAAAAAAACATTCCACAGAAAAGGGGCTCGATATCCAATACGTTTAAGAATTAGTTATAGTGTGTTGAGTGCATTTAGAAAGTGATTTATTTTGTGATGAATTGCAACAGCTCATCGACAGAAGATTTTTTCAAGTCTTGGAGAGACCGATAGTTCTAAAAGTGAAGTACAGAATAAGTAATACATCAGAATCTGGAAGAGTTAGAGCTATTCTGAAAAGGGACGTCACTCCAACATTCTACGGAAAGGTATTGAATTTGACTTAGTTTTGTTTTAAAATTAATTGTAATAATCTGAGTTTTGAGTTTACCTTCAATTTTTTTATTCAGGCACGCTTTGACACAGGATGTAAATCAGAAGATGGAATTTGTAAATCAAATCTGAATCTCCGTGTGACCTTTGATAAGAAAAGACTTCTCATCGGCAATGACACCATCTTACAAATGAGAATAGTTTTGAAAAACTCTGGAGAACCGTCCTTCAAAACATCAATAATAATCGAACACTCTAAACTGGTGAGATTCAATACACTGAAAATAAGTCAGTCATCTGTGAAAATGTCTTGTATGGATATGAAAAACAATAAATCGATTGAATGTGAGATTCAAGATCCTTTTTATCAACGTATGAAAGGAGAACTCGATGTGTTTTTCGAAGTTTCCAGAAGTGTGTTGGAATCGACTTCCGGTTATGTATCTACAAGAAGCCTCGTTTTCAATGTGACTTCCGTAACTAACAACGATATTTATCCAGAAGATAACACAGTTGTTAAAAATGTACCTGTTGCCGCTTTTACTCAGACTACTCTGCAGGTGTAAGTTGAAGGACAAGTCTTTTTACTTTCTCATTCATTATATGTATTAAGAAGAACAGTTAGATATATGAATACTGTTTACAAGGAAATATTCCTCCCCGTTTTACATTCGCCCCTTTTGCCCTTATCACAAGTGAGCGAATTTAAAACTAAAAAAAAACAGTTTAAATTCTTAAACAGAACTGTGACAGGGCGAGTTCAAAACGTGACAAAAGAAAAAAAAATTGGTATGAAATATTACAAATATTCCGAAAATTGCTTACTAGCTACATGTTACTGATCAGCAGTTTTAGATTTCATGATTGAAAAGGATTTTTTGTCCTTACTTTGAAAAAAAATGATTTCAGCAAGAAAAAATTAACTGTCAAACAAAATTTTCACCAAATGTAACTTGTCACAGGTCAGCATCCGATGAACAGATAACGTCAGCCAACAGCAGTATACAGTTCTCAAACAGTTACCGACTCTTCAACGACGGACCCTGTGTTATAGAGACTGTGGATCTACAGTTCCTAGTTCCTGTCAGGACTAAGAACAAAATCTTCATCAAAGAGGGTGATCTCAAGGTACAACAACCTGAAAAATATATTAAACTAAGAAAGAGTTGTCCGTCCATATAATTATATGATTTCTGGTGTTTTCTTTTATTTAGGGATTTAGAATCTCTTGAATTTTATGGGCAGACTTTACAATGAATTTACATCATCAAGGAATATTAAAGTATGGGAGACAAGACGTCCGATTAGGACATATTGTTCCATTATAACTCTTGTATTTCAGTGTTTTACAACTAATGAAAATTGGCAATTAAAATCATGGAATTGAAAAATAATAAAATTAACGAACCTTAATTCGCGTCTTTTGTAATGAAAATGTTTAAAGTAATCAGTCGGGAGATAACAAAATCAATCGAAATTTGTCATTTCGAAAAGATTAATGTCACTTTAAAAAAACTTAACAAAGTTTGCAAAGGGTCGCTCGACAACGTGTTGAGACAGAATCAACTTCAGAAGTTATAAATATGGGAAAACAAGACAAAATATAATAATAGTAAAACATGTTTTTAATTACTATTGCTCAATTGTCACCAGCATTTTCTATACCTTTCCTAAAGGTACAAAATAGTAACAAGAAAGACATTTGCAAAATGTCTTACTATCCTCGTGAAAATCTGAAAACTACAACCCCAAACCCCATTTCCGGAAGTAGCACTCTGCAGTACAACACTTCTGGTATAGGGCTTACACCAATAAATCCGGATTTTCAACCAATCAGAGGCATGCTGGAGAGTTCGCAATATATTGTAAGTTGTCAATGAAAACAATTTTCTTATTCTTTTGCAAGAAAAGGTATTTCACAATTGCTTGTTTATATCTTTTTATTTGTAATGACATTTACATGGGTAATGTAGGGGTACTACTGCCTCAACTTTCTAGATGTTATTCTCAAATTGTGTTTTTGACAAAATAAAAGTTTTATTTTATAGGGGACATAAAATCTATTAAACTGGAACATATGAAAATTCGACATGAGCATCTCATAAATGCTTACAGAAATATTCCACATTATACAGTGTAACATAGTAATTTAAAGCAAATGTTATCTTTTGGAGTCAATAAAAATGTATATTTCAGCCAATTTATTTCAAAGATGTATCTGACAAATGGAGCTCATGATAAGATATGATAATATTTAACAACAGAGGCATTGTTTGGGGTTATTAATCAAGAAATTAAACATTCTTTAGTTTTGTGACAATGTAGTTGGACCCTACATGTGTGCAGTGGTCGACTGTACTGTGAATATGGTCAAGCCTGAGGACAGTGATAGCAGAACATTCGTGATGCCCTTTGACATCCTATTGAACAATCTACCTGAACTTGAAAAGGTAGAATACATGTATATACTTTTTAACTGTACAATTGACAAATCAATTAACCACCGTTGGCAAAGCACACGAAATTTACCAATTGAAATGATACGTCTTGTGTATTTGAAAAGCATTTTACATCTTTGTTGATCTTTTTTTTCCAAAGTAATAATCTTTGAATAAAGACGATATAATAATATTCTCACTTGTTAATGTTCGTTTTATAGGGGAAATCTTTTTATACCTTTGTTACACGTGGTCGTGTGGTTCCTAACAAGCGATCAGCTGTGCCATTGGTGTTGAGCAAAAACGTATCAGAAGAGGTATGTCTACATTTAAATATACATGTTAGATATCATCATACACGTTATTCGATAAATACAAGGTCCTGATGGTCAATTTTACGAATAAAAGTCGTGGAACGATACAAACGTTAAATGACAAATGCTAAACATATAATTATCCCTCTTAGGAAACTGTTGGAAGATTAACCTTGTGTTGTGAACATTTTTAAAATAAATATCACTAAGTTTGGACATTTTTAACCATATTTGATTGTTTTGATTCTCTTTTGGGAATTTTCTTTTATGAAATTGGTAAAAACACATACTTTTTACCATTGGGCATGGGGCCTTATACAGGCCCCCTACGATCCTTAAAAAACCCTGGTCTGATGTACAAATTCTAATTAACTGTACTGTTTGATTTGTTATTTTCGTATGTTACAAGCCAAATCTTTTAATTCGTTTTGAAGGTTTCTTCATAAAACATTTTTCATAAAACATTTTTATAAAGGTTATTGCACTACACAAAACTTTTTCATTCTATTGATATTTTTTTATCATGAAAAATGGTAAATAAAAAAAGACAAAATATAGTATAAATTTTGATTTTGTAAACGAAAATTCAATTCTTTAAATTTTTTTTCTTTCAGATTTATGTTGCCATTATTCTTCCAAATTCCTTCTCCCAAAGTGTAGAAGAGGTGGATTTAGTAATAATCATCATCGGCTCCATCGGAGGATTATTGTTATTCATTCTTTTGGGAGTTATCCTATGGAGGGTTTGTATTAAAACTAGAGGTGCACTGAGCACTGAGCTAACTAAATGAAACACTCCCACCAACTACCATATGATTATAATGGTAAAGTCCATGTTTTGCTTTGGAGACTCAAATAAATGTGTGATCAACTAGGGGTTCAGTATGCACTGTTGGGAGACTCGAAATAAGTGTCACATCTAAATTCATATACATGTACATTTCAACAGTTTAATTCAATAAGCACTTATTAAAAACCTTCCTCTAGCACTTGAAATTTATTTCAATCGAATCTATCAATTGTTCTCGTATTATTTCCTTTGTCAATGTTTTAATTTCTTTTACCACTTAACTGTGCTTTCACAAGATCAGCAATTCAGAAGCGCTACGTCTTTCCAAGACGTTCCATTTTTTGTTGTTGCGTTTTTGATCAGTTTTACCATATAAACCGTTTCTTCACAGATTGTCCTCATCCGACAGCGTCTATGTCACACAAATAGCTTAACTGTGACACAATTTTTGATTCCTTTAACAGTTCAAGAGTTTACTTAGGATTTTTCTCCAATATAACACAAAATTGCATTGTAATCCGCTGCTCTGTAACATTCAACAACGTCACAATTTTGGTCGCTTTCAATGAGGACTACCTATCTTTCCAAATTGATTTCTTTTCAACGAATCATAATATTAAGCCATAATTTGGAGTATGAATCAATTTTACAATTCTTATTTTCAAAGTGTAGGAATTTTTCCGTTTGGCTCCATTTTACAGAGAATATGTCTTCAGTAATTGCAATATTTATTCCGTATGTTGTTTGTAAATTACTAAATTTTGACCTGCTCCGCGATCCGATTTTTGCAGTTTTAAATTCCGGATATGTTTGAAATTAATCATGATGATTTAAAATTTTTCAATACAATTCATTTAGATTTATTGTTAAAATATTTCTACAAAATTTGGATAGCATATGACGTTAAATAAACAAGCAAATTCAAAGAATTGAAGTCCCCCGCTTTCGGTGTCTTTGTGGGTGTCATTTTTTATGACACATTGTCTCAAATATGAACGCCTTATCATATGTCACTTAGAAATTATCATTATCACTGATGTTGATTTTTTTAAAAAAAATAAGGTTAGTCGTGAAGGTCAAGGGGTCACATATCATAGCATGCTTGGAAATATATTGTCACAGGAAATGCACATGTCAAATATGAAACCATATCTCTTCTCAATATAAAGAACAAGATGTGTTTGTGAAACACTGATGACCCGTATGGCAACAGAGCGAAGATTAAACTTTTCTTAAATGCAAATTAAATATATTATTACCCGAAGGTCAAGGTCATTTATGATATCCAATGAAAGGCCCTGTCACAAGGATTAAATATTTGAAACATGAAAGCCATAGCCCTAAACCTTTAAAAGTTATGGTCAAGGTTTGTTCTTTAAAAGTAGGTTAAACTCCAAGGTCAAAGGATCCAAGTTCATGGTCTCTAACGAAAGGTCTTTGCACAAGGGTTGCATATCTGAAGTATGAAAGCCCTAGCCCTTACAATTCAAAAGTTATGGTCAAGGTTAAAGTTTTTTCAAAAGTACGGAAATCTCCAAGGTCAATGTCAACAGGTCAAAGTTGTTGATATCAAATAAAAGGATTGCCACAAAAAATGCATATGTGAAATATAAAAGTCCTAGGATATATCATTTAAAAGTAATGGCCAAGGTTAAAGTTTTTAAAAAGTAGATCAAACTCCAAGGCCAAGGTCAAAGGGTCAAAGTTTTTGATATCCGATGAAAGATCTTGTCACAAGGATTAAATATATGCAGTATGAAAGCACTAGCCGTAACCCATCAAAAGTTATGGTCAAGGTATGCTTTTTTAAAGTAGATCAAACTCCAAGGTCAAATGGTCAAATTTCTTTGTATCCAATGAAAGGTCTTGTCACATTAATTACATATGTGAAGTATGAAAGCCCGATTTCTTACCGTTTAAAAGTTCAGGTTAAAGTTTTTTCACAGGTACAGAAATCTCCAAGGTCAAGGTCAATAGGTCAAGGTTATTGGTATGCAATGAACGGTCTTGCCACAAAAAATACATTTTTGAAATATGAAAGTCCTTGTATCTACCATTCAAAAGTTATGGCCAAAGTAAGAGTTCGGATTTTTTGTGTAAAAGTGGGTCAGATTCCAAGGTCAAAAGGTCAAATTTGGTGGTACCGAAAGAAAGGTCTTGTCACAAAAAATACACTTGTGAAATATGAAAGTCATAGCTCCACTTAATCAAAAGTTATGGGCAAGGTTAAAGTTTTTGTGACGGACGGACAGACTGACGGACAGACGAATGAGATTTAATGTCCACTCGCTTTTGCGAAAGCGGGGGACAATAAAGATATGTCAGGTGGAGTCCACGAACTTTTCGAAAAACCCTCGTATAGGATCATATGAATGTTTTATAATGCACCAATATGTATGAATTCATATGATTTACTGTTGCTAATGTATGACTTCAGATTTGTTCTGTAAATGGTGCTTTATTGTATAATCATCTAGTATTTTATTAAATTAATTACATTGCATGACTTAAACCACAGGCAGTTGTTTCGTATACGGAGCACCCCTTCTTTTTTTACAACGTGGTAAAAAAAGCAAGGCAAGGGTGTCCCGTATACTAAACAAGTGCCTGTAACAGTTACTTAAACAGAAACTTTTTTCAATCCTTTTTTATAGTGTGGATTCTTCAAAAGAGAGAAAAGAAAACAAGTTGAAGAATTTAAACGCAAAAGTCGAAAAATCCGAATGGAATCTGTTCGAAGCGGCAGAAGCGGTGCTGGGTCAAGTCGTTCCAAACCTTCAGAAGACCAAGAAACACTCAATAAAAAGTTTGATCAAATGGACGATACTTGTTTTACAACATGAGTCTGTTTGCTGTCTAGCGTAAAAATTTGTTTCAAAATTATCAATGGAATTGTCAAAACATGTTTATGTGCAAGAAAACTCACTTGTTGCTCAAGAACAAAATGTCTCATCAAATGAGATTGTCCGTCGCATTTTTATTGGAAAAGAAAAGAACCATTTCTACATTTACCGCAGGCAATTGTTGCTCTATGATTGGGATCTAAATTACGTTTTCTTTATGATGCTAAGGATGAAATTTCTGTGACTATATTCTTTTTAAATGAGCAAATGCTAGTTGTAAATGTACGAGTATATGTGTCATCCTCAAATAATGCATGTGCTTTCTCTTCTAGTGTGCTTGGATACTTTATGATTTGTTTATTCTTAAATGTGCCAATAATCAATATGTTTTTATATAAAATATTTATATTCTATATGGAGAAGAAACAATGGTATGTATGTCTGTCTGTTACAGATAGTCTGTTTGTCTTTCTTTTAGGTATTGTATGGATCGTTACTTTTAATCGTTTGATAGAATGGATACAGATGTTCACATATTGTTGTCAATAAATTTATTAAAAAAAAATGTGGATCAACTTTGTAAATCTGTCACTTTAAAATAAATTTGAAAAATGTTCATAAAGTGCAAGTCAGTCGGCTTTTTATTTGCGAACACCCAAAAATCATTTTAACTTCAGTTATTGAATACATGGACAACTATGATGAATGATTTCATTTGCAAGTATCAAGTGCTCTACTAATTGAGCTAAAGGGTAAACCCACCAGTCCAAGCTAGTAGGATGCCGTTTATCTTACACTACTACATTGTCCTCTTCTCTTTTGGAGTGCCGACACCTGTGGGGCGAAGTTCTAGGGGCAATCACGCTAACCGCCTGGGAACACCCGGGTCCCAACATGGGCGCCAAATGTAACCGAGCCAATTCTGTGTCTCTGCTTGGATTGAACCCGGGGCTCTGGCTTGCCAGTCCAGTGCTCTACCAATTGAGTTCAAGGGCTAACTCATTAGCTCAAGCTAGAAGGACGCCGTGTATCTTACACTTCTACATTAATATCAAATATACAGAGATTGGGTATCCTTGAACAAAATATACTGTTCTAAGAAATTTAATGTGAGGAACATTTTGTCCTATCTATTTTTTTACTACCTTAAATTTTATAAAGACTGTACGTGTAGCTACTACAATATACATGTTTGATAATGCCAATCTGCTTTAATTTTCAATTTCAGTTCTGTTATTTTTTCTTAGCCGACATTTTTATGAAATATTTTTGTTTTGATTTTTTTTTCTCTTTATGCGTACTTGTATGCCCTCAAGGGTACCAAATCAGTCTGAAAAAAAAATTAAAAATCTTAATTTTATTTCTTACATTTTTAGCTCACCTGAGCCAAAGGCTCAAGTGAGCTTTTCTGATCACAATTTGTCCGTTGTCTGTCCTTGTCGTTGTTGTCGTCGTTGTCGTTGTAAACTTTTTACATTTTCATCTTCTTCTCAAGAACCGCTGGGCCAATTTCAACCAAACTTGCCACAAAGCATCCTTGGGTGGAGGGAATTCCAGTTCAAATGAAGGGCCACGCCTTCATACAAGGGGAGATAATTGGGAATTAATGAAAATTTGGTGGTATCTTTTAAAAATCTTCTTCTCAAAAACCACTGTGCCAGGAAAGATGAAAGGTTGTGTATATTCAAGTTTGTTCACATCATGACCCCCGGGGGTAGGGCGGGGCCACAATGGCCTACCAAAGTTTTACATAGAAATATATAGGAAAATTCTTTAAAAATCTTCTTCTCAAGAATAATAAATCCATACTTATTCATATTTATATGGAAGCATCCTCAGGTAGTGTAGATTCAAGTTTGTTCATATCATGACCCCCGGGGTAGGGTGGGGCCAAAATGGCCAACCAAAGTTTTACATAGAAATATATAGGAAAATTCTTTAAAAATCTTCTTCTCAAGAATAATAAATCCATACTTATTCATATTTATATGGAAGCATCCTCAGGTAGTGTAGATTCAAGTTTGTTCATATCATGACCCCCGGAGGGAAGGGTGGGGCCAAAATGGCCAACCAAAGTTTTACATAGAAATATATAGGAAAATTCTTTAAAAATCTTCTTCTCAAGAAGAACAAAGCCATAATTGATCATATTTATATGGAAGCATCCTCAGGTAGTATAGATTCAAGTTTGTTCGAATCATGACCCATGGGGGTAGGGCGGGGCCACAATGGCCAGTCAAAGTTTTACATAGACATATATAGGAAAATTCTTTAAAAATCATCTTATCAAGAATAGCAAAGCCATGATTGGTCATGGGACTACTTTTGGATATACAGCTCAACACACTTTTTAAGCTCACGTGGTTTTTCGCACAAATTAAGGTCACATTGTTATGATGTAATATTGTGTATCGAGGCATCAAAATACATTTTTAAAAGTATTTGTTTACATTATTTGAGTTTTACCGGGGGTATTTCATCTACTAAAAAATAATTCACACATATCAACTGGTAGAACTTTTATATTTTATGGCTGAAAAAATATCAACTACTCTCATTTGAATTTTTGTGGTCCTTGCCAATTGCAACTGTCTTTTTTTTCCGTCCTTTTGAAAGCAATAGCTCTTTTCAGAAACGTAGACATGGACACAGTACTGTAAGTAGTATTTTCTGTACATTTTGACTCTTTAGCTCGGGGTGATAAAAGTATTTTTCATCTCTTTGACTGCTTTGTAAGTTAATAAGATGGGATTTTCAGAGTCAAGTTAACGTTCTAAACTCTGGACTCATAAGAAATTCATCCACTGCAAAATTATAACCATTCAAACCGTAAGTACAGAGGTTTTTTCCCTTTTCATAGAAGGAATTTACTATTAAAAAATAAACAATGCTTCATTATCCTACCCTTTAGCGTGGTTTCCTTTTGCAATGTTATCCTTTTTCGGCGCTACATTTCGACAAACCAAGAGGAGTATGGTAAATGAACAAAGAATTTTAAAAACTTCTCACCTGTAAGAGAAAATAAAAATATTTCATCTACATGGTATCAAAGAAAGTTCGTTTTATATAACTGTCAAGAGTCTAAGGTAGAATCGTATAGTCGAAACATCGTACCATTTATATATAAATTTCCTTTAGAAACATCCATTTTGGAAACTTAAGGTAATAATTTCAAAAGACATCTATGCTTGGACATTATATTTGTAATATAACGTAGACTAGGGTTATGTCATTGTACTGCAGTTCGAAAAATGGTAATTTTTATTACAACAATGTGACCTTAATTTGTGCGAAAAACCATGTGAGCTTAAAAAGTGCGTTGAGCTGTAAACTATTCAATAATAAACCAATTTCTACTTTTTCCCAGCCACAATGCTCAGGTGAGCGATGTGGCCCATGGGCCTCTTGTTTTTTTTTACATGTACAGTGTATATACATCCAAAAAATCAAGTGAAGATACGTCCAAGAGCGGCAACTCAACAGCTACATGAATGCTCAACCATGGGGATTTTTTTTTTACATCAAGTCGAGTTATTCATCTTAGATTAAAGTACACGTAGCATATGCATTTTATACTTATAAATACTAATTGAATGTTAATTGAATGCCATATTATAGATATTTTTTAATGTTAAAATTGTTAATACAAAATACATTGTACTATTTGGTATTTATGCTTTATATGAAGAAAGTGCTGAAAAAAAGAATACAGTGATCATTGACAACAATTCAAAAAACAAACAAACAAACAAAAAGAAAATGATAATATATTTATCAGAAAGAGTGTAAAACACGGACCTTCGGAAATTCAACAGTAGGATCAGGTGCCTAGAAGGAGTAACCATCCACAGTCAGCCTGAAGTATTCATCAGTTAGACAGACTGGTATATTCCGTTAAATTTAGATTATTTACATTTCCAATGTCTTTGTTACAGATATATTACAAATAGTTAGGATACTTTATTTCTCCATCAATGTACAGGTTCATCGATAGGCGCGGTTGAAAAAAAGATCACGTACTGGGCGGGACAATTAGTGACAAGAAGCGGGCTTGTAGCACATGGATTGGCGGAATCAATATCATGTAAATATAAGGAATAACTGTCAGATTATTCGATTTCATGACGATGATCATTCGATTGGATTGCGTGATAATTTTATGCATAAACGCCTTCGGCGTTAATGCAAATTATCACGCAAGCCAATCGATTGATCACATCATAAAATCGAAAAGTAAGACAGATATCCCTTAATTAAAAAGGCCTTCTAGTCGATTTTGAAACCTTAGATATATAAGGAATATATTTAACCTAAACATAGCTTTTTTGTAGGAATGTCAAATTTAAATTTCATGTACATGTATTGCTTTCCTTATTTACTTTAGGAAACATAATGGAATATGGCTCGAGAAACCGAACCGAAATTTTATGAATCTAATTTAAAAAAAAAAAAAAAGAATTAATTAATACAAATAGGGAGCAGAGCATCTGTAAGCATGAACGTCTTAATTAATCAAAAGTACGATCAGGTATATATGCTGTGAGTTTTATTATACACCATGTTTTCCTCAAGATATTTTTGAACTGCTGCTTCCAACTATTTAGTAGTATTAACAAACAAACCTAGTGCCTAGGCATTGAACATATTGAACGAAATCCTTAACTACTTCTTCATCTCCCTATCACTGTGCGCATGCCGCTTGAAGCGATATTTCAGAAACCTTATTTGAAATTAGCATTTTGCAAACTTTATGGTCGTTAAATTCATTATATATAACAAGATGTGTTTGTAAAACACTTTGCCCCCAATGGTAACACCCGTTATGAGCTAGGTTTAAAGTTGACAACAGACAGTCAGACAAACAGACAGACAAGACAAAAAACTATATACCCCCGGGATTTTTCGATCCGGGGGGCATATAAAAATTTGGAAGAAAGAGTCTTATTATGGTATCTGTATGCTAGCTGCAGGTAGACGTTAAACGTAACATAGCTAACATTATCTTTGATGGTACGATTAATACATGTTCATTAAATAAGTGTTTTATTCCTTGTTCTCAAGCCCGTTAATTTAATTCTGATGCTAAAAAATGGATTTTCTTTCTAAAAATTTTGATTATTTTCCTATTTCAAAAGTTTACGTTGAAGTCTATTGTGTTTACATAACATGCAACAAGGATGGATGATATGACATTTTTTAGTGGGAAGGGAAGATATCACCTGTCACTTTTATTTCCGAGTATATTTCCATTGCTTCAAGACGCAATCGACGATATATTCAATTCCTTCCTCCTTTTCCTTCATATGAAATATATCTGCATTAGTTGAGTCAGTCACATGCAAGGATGAAAAAACCTCCAAACTGAAAGATATAAAATTTTTAAACTTGGGGAATTAATCTATGCACGAATATTCATTCGTTTTTTGTTTTTGTATTTTATTAACTTTTCGAAAAAGACAAAATGTGTATACATGAATATTGTCAATAAATCCATTGAATAAGACTAGTAGTTATTTTCAATTTCTATTATTTTTTATTTCAGGTTAAAGTTGCGAAAACTCTATGATGTTAAATGTACAAGTATATTATAAGAAAGAGTTGAAAACATTATACGGATCGTTTAGCATGATTTTATTCATAATATAATGGAAAAATTAGTACCATAAATCAATATTTGAAAGAACTGTTTGCAATATCAGCTCCATTAATTCAATCTTGCAAATTGAATCTTGTCTATTGTACCAAATGTGAATTCTTTCTCATCAAATCAATAAAGGAAGAAAAAAAAATATTGTCTCTCAATTTGTATATCCGTGTCTATAATTGGCAAATTGAACATTCTATTTTCATTGGGGGCTTATAAGAGAAGATTGACGCCACTTGAAAATTGACAAAGCACAAAATCCGCCTCTTGAAATGTTCCAGTCATCAATATTAAGCCGATGCCTGCAGAGCGGTGGCGGTTTGTAATCAGTATTCACTACTAGTTTTGATAGAGCGTTTTATTCATACGCCCCAATTTTACAGAAACGTTTCATGTGCATAAATGTTTTCACTTGTGTCGCGCCCAAACTTCCTCATTTTATATAATTACCACGGCATCGTGATATAGGAGTATAGGAGTTAATGATGCTTTACATTATGGAGTGATTATATTTTTTCTGATTTCATTATCCAAAATGGGTTACTGGATCAATTTTAGACTTGATTCATTGTTTGTGTTGAAGACTCGCAGTGTGGGAAATGTGATATGGATGTTGATCGCTGTTTTAACTCAATCGTGTTGGAGTTTTAACATTGATGTTACGCGACCCCTTGTCTATCAGGGCAATGTCGGGACAAATTTCGGTGCTGCCGTGGAATTATTAAATAATACTGATGGAAAATGGTGGGTATTTAATTTAGTGAGCATTAAAAAAAGCTTAAAAGTATTTAATTTTGTAATGATCATAATTCTGTAATGAAACTTGTGACCAAATCTCTCTCTACTCTCTTTCTCCATGGATCTCATATCAGTGATTCATGGTTGGTCATACCAAGTTGATGACCAAGATATCTTCCTCTCCTATTACAATCTGAGTCACTGAACTAATGGTCAAATCTCTCTCTCTCTGTATGTATGTCTCGAAGTCTCTCTTTCTTTCTTTCTCTCTCTCTCTCCCTTGCTGTGGATCTAACATCAGTATGATTTGACATATCAAGCCGATGACCAAGTGACCAAGTTCTCTCCCTCTCTCTTCTATTACAATCTGAGTCATTCAGCTGTTGGTGAAATTCTCTCTCTCAGTTTCTCTCTGTGTGGATCTAATATTTGTGATTCATGACTGGTCATATCAAGCCATTGACCAAGTTCTCTCTCTCTCTCTCTCTGTCTCTCTCTCTCTCTCTCTCAGAGTGAGTCAGCTATAATATTGCCCCTATATATCTAATGCTTTTTATGACCCGATCAGCCAGCTAAGATCAATAAACACAGACAAAGCAGCGTTTATTCTGTAGATATCAAAATGCCCTGAATCAGTTTATCATGCTGAAAACCGTAATGTTATACAAGACGCTAAACATTATAGTATCGGATTAAAATCCATCTGTTGGCTGTATTTTAACGGGTTATATTTTTAATAACATGAAGAGGATAAGGATCGGCAATATACGGTAATCTGAAGTGTCGATACTGAATTGGCCACTATTTAATAATTAGTTCACGCGCTTCTCGCCCTAACGAATCGGGTTCAGTCTGTTCGAAGTGCAGTTCATCCTAATAACGAAAGATCCCCCTTACAACATTAAGTGCCCCCTATATGACGCATGAGAGGGTTTGTGATATACACGTGTATATATATATATATATATCTAGCATGCAAATGTATGATTTCTCCTTGACAATGACTTCTCAAAATTATAATCTACGTCTAGATCTCAGCCGTATTAATTTCCGAAAGGGGGGGGGGAGGCTGCAGAAGTTTTCAAATTAAGGTCGATCCTCGGGCGGTTTTTCTTACTGGTTTTTACAGTCGTAATTTTTTTCCATTTGTATAAAAATAGATTACCCAGTATTAATAACCTTGACTCTTTTAATAGATAATATACACGTTATACGAATTAGAGTATTTTTTTCAGAACCTGACGTTAGATTTTTTTAAAATAAAAATGCAAAGACTTATGAATCAGTTAGTATACACTGTACTGTTTTATAATTTATTTACGTCCCTGACCCCTCTTATCAGACCAGGGAAGTTTTTATGTTCTGCTATGTAAAATAGAATAAAATCTCTTTCCTTTCTAATTTTAAAAATATTTATTGAATATATAATTTAACAAAAACAAAAAGCAAAACAAACAAACCAAAAAACCCCAACGATATCGAAGCATATTACATGTAACTTGTGTTTTATGCATATAGAAGCTAAGATTGACCTTAATCCACTTCGGTCGCCCCAATGTTTATATAACATGTAAATCAAGAAAAGTCGCGATGGAAATAAAGCACCAAAGTAAACATGTCAAAACAGAGCTCAGATTTATCGTAATATCATTTTTCCGTTTTACTCATCCGGTCTCGGTCGATATGTGTACACGATAGTGTTATAAATGGTTTCAGTGCACATATATATTGAGAGTTCTTGATTTACCTCCTGGGGTTTATGTACGCGTGTTTCGCTACGAATTCCTGTATGTCTTTGTGTTAACTGGATTAAAAAAAAAAGAGGAAAGCGTTCTATAATGAAAGATTTGTCCTCTAAACTTTTTTTTCAGTAATTCAATTCATTACGAAACACAGTGATAAAAAGATAGGACGTGGAGCGGGAAGGGCTTAATTTCATTGTATTCATGCGTCTTGCATATTTTAAATAAGTTCTCGAATCAGATTATGCCCAGCTTAATAATTCGTTACTTTCTAGTAAAATATAATTCATTAGCATCACTTGTCGTTCTGTGGAGTGCATTTTTCTCATTTTGTAAATGAATCATTGAGTCCAGAATTTTTTTTTTTGCTCTAGGGGATGTGCTAGGGTTCCAACCAAGCCCTCCTCATGTACCAAAAATCATTCCCAGATTTTGTGGTGAACAAACGTTAAAACTGACACACCACCCCCGCCCTCTTCCCCAGAATTTACTCATTGGTCCTGTACATTATAAAAAAAAATTCAGCATGATAGAAAATCTACAATTTCTTGATATTGAAGAATTTAGACTGTTACTACGGAAGCCCAATAGTGCAAACCAAAAATATATAAAGAAAAACGAAATTAATATATAAAGAGAAACGAAATTATTAAATAAAGAAAAACGAAATTAATATATAAAGAGAAACGAAATTATTAAATAAAGAAAAACGAAATTAATATATAAAGAGAAACGAAATTATTAAATAAAGAAAAACGAAATTAATATATAAAGAGAAACGAAATTATTAAATTAAGAAAAACGAAATTAATATATAAAGAGAAACGAAATTATTAAATAAAGAGAAACGAAATTAATATATATAGAGAAACGAAATTATTAAATAAAGAGAAACGAAATTAATATATATAGAGAAACGAAATTATTAAATAAAGAGAAACGAAATTAATATATAAAGAGAAACGAAATTATTAAAAGTAGAAAAACTGAAACAAAAATACGGAATTTATAGAGGTGCACGGTAAGGGTCTGAACCCATAAATCATTAGTGCACCGCGTCTGATAGGCCTGATTTTGTTTCGACAATAAACAAGTATGATGTTTGCCTTTATATTCACCTTTTCCTTAATTGAAAACGTATCCATTGCAATACATGGATTGGACGAATTTAACCTTTGATATCTAATTGCACAACTATTTAAGAAAACATGAACGTTAAGATTCAGTTGTTTACAACTCGTATTGTTGAATTTTTAACATTCAGGAAATTCCCTTATCTATTATTCAACTATCGCACAATACATTCATTTAAAAAAAAGGTGTAAAATAATACGTTATCGATCGGACTTGGGTTTGTTTGACATATTAAAAAATTGTTTAAAGAGAACAGGTGCAAAAAGTAAAACGAGTCAAAGTGGTTACAAGAAGTAGATTTTAATAATTGCTTACTAAATTAGAAATAAAGCAAATCAGTTGATTCCTTGATCTTATCAACGCATAATTAGACGTGATGTACTGGCTACTAGTACTTGTTCTCACATATTATAAATGTCCAACCCTCAGTCTGTACTATTTACAAGTCAGTGGTACTATAATTCTTGTTCTCATATATTTGAATTGACAAACTCGCAATTCGTATATTTATAAGTCGGTGATATTTATAAACAAACAATGCACACTCTTGTACATAACAAATCCCACAAAGTAATCAAATCATTTTTCTTTTTATAGTTTCAACAATCTAAGATTTATGGGTACACAGATCGGACGCTAGGTTAAGTTCATGGGAATCCAGTAATACGATACGCAAGGTCTTGACCTTTCAGCGATTCAAGCGCTCTTTGAATTGGATGTCATTAATTTTAATCAAGCAGAAACAGTCACCCTCTTGATCCTCTATGCATAATGCCATACATCAACAAATTAAGTATACCGTTAAACAATTATTGACAATTTACTCCAAACATTAGATTGAAGTATTTGTTTAAGTTGATATTTTCTCTTTCTCCCTCACTCTCCTTTTTATTAAATAATTTCTTTTTTTCTTTTTTTTATAATTCCGTTTTTCTTTTTTTAATAATTTCGTTTTTCTTTATTCAATAATTTTGTTTTTCTTTATATATCAATTTCGTTTTTCTTTATTTAATAATTTCGTTTCTCTTTATATATTAATTTCGTTTTTCTTTATATTAATTTCGTTTTTCTTTATTTATAATTTCGTTTCTCTTTATATATTAATTTCGTTTTTCTTTATTTAATAATTTAGTTTCTCTTTATATATTAATTTCGTTTTTCTTTATTTAATAATTTCGTTTCTCTTTATATATTAATTTCGTTTTTCTTTATTTAATAATTTCGTTTCTCTTTATATATTAATTTCGTTTTTCTTTATATATTTTTGGTTTGCACTATTGGGCTTCCGTATGTTACAAATCAAAACTAGTGCTAATTGTAACGGGGACCGTTACAGATGTTCCCCAAACGCTCCCCAACTCCCTTTTGGTGCCATATTCCCTGTAAGCTTCATTAAATAAGACAAACTCTATGCATCTGAGATTTTAACAACATTTACAAAGAAGTGTACAAAAATCATTTAAACTTTAGCTTTGCACGCGTGCACATGTGAATGCATTTGCGTCATGACCAAATCATGTTGTCTACACAATCTATATTTTTAATACACTGAATATTAAAGTATTTAATCCAAAATTATTTTAAAAATACGCTCATTCAAGTGTATGTTTGAATTTACTCATTTCACGTGCACGCACGTGCATACATGGGCATGGTGACCATACCTACTTGTAGAAGTCCATTACATCTATCTATGTTCTAAATTCCACCCCGTTTGGGTGAAAACTAAGTAAATTATAGCTGTTTAAAGTTTCAGCCAATCAGATTGCAGCACATGTACACGCACGTGTATGCATGTGCATGGTGACCATACCTACTTGTAGAAGTATATTATATCTATCTATATTCCAAATCCCATCCTGTTTGGTTGAAAACCAAGGGAGTTATAGCTGTTTAAAGTTTCAGCCAATCAGATTGCAGCGCACGTGCATGCACGTGTTTTCATGATAATTGCTTTATTTCAAGTTGTAGGATATCCTAATGCATGGCTATCTTCAAAATTTCAAAAGATTTCGTCAAAAAACAAGAAAGATATTGAGACTTTCGTTGCAGCCAATCAGAGCGAAGTGCACGTGCATGCGCGTGAGATCTTGCTATTTTCACCATGTCGTCATGTCTATACTACTAATA